GATCAATGAGCCACTATTTTCTAAACAAGCAAGAGGAACCAAACCCTTTTAATGGTCTGCCTGTACTGCTTAATTGTTGCCACATTTAACACTCTTTACAAGACTTGCTATCCTAATGTTGAATGTTCACCAAGCCATACTGGTACTTTCTGGGGCTCAACTGTCCTTGCCAACATCCCAGACTTTCACAGCCAGCCTACCTACTGCATTTTTTAAACAAATGAAGAACTCCATATACTGTAATGAAATGAGTGTTGAGAAAATCTGACTACACTTTCACTCAAGCAGATAGTCTTGAAAATGTGGTATAAACCAAGGGTTTCCACATACAAGTAAGTTACATAACTATTACATTTTCCTTAAATGTTAGCTGACAGAATATCACACTTAAGAAATTTCAGGCTGTTTTAAAATGGCTAGATGGGCCCAATGCCCTCCTTTCCTTTGTAGTTTTGTAATCCACTTTCTGAAAGCAAAGTACATACTAGCACAAGCAAAATAAAAAGATATTTGGAAGGAATATCCTGTCACAGTGTTTTCTGGAGAAACCTTACATAGATTTAACCTACAGTAATAAACTATTTTATAAACTATTTTATAAACTGCGAGATGGCAAAGGAGGTCTGGGCAGCTTTCAATAAGTTCACCTATCACACAATTGATAATCATCGTTATTTAAAAGACAGTCGGACTGTTCAATTCCTATTCTGTGAACCCAAACTAAAATAACATTTCTCAGAAGAAAAAATATAAGCCCACAAAACCCATTTAATAATACACAGCTGAAGAACAGTTCTGCAGTTCATTATAGGGATGTAGTGACTAAGTGTTTAGGCAGGGCTATTACCAGTGATTTTGAGTCTCTTAAATCAGAGGGTATGCCAGTGTTCTGAATTCCTCTGAAAAGTACATAAACATAATAAGTTTATAGCCCCTAACACTGAATCACACATACCTCAGCAATGACACGGAAAACCAGCAGCTAGGAAAAGTACAATGAAAACACACATGTAGTTTGTTTCAACATGTAACCGTTTCCTTCTAAACTACTGCACTGACAAGACATGACTTTCCACACACTGCTATAAGACAATAATGCCACCCAAAAGCACTTAATAATAATAACTGCTTTATTCAATATAGAGGGTTGTGGGGGAGCTGGACACAAGGCACCCTGGACACCACACAAGCCCATCACAGGGTATACAAAGACACAAACACGCACAAACTCAAACCAGGGACAATTTTCCCTGAAGCAAATTAATCTACCAGCATGTGGGAGGAAACCAGAGCACCTGGAGAAAACCCACCCAAACACGGAGAGAACATACAAACACCATGCAGACAGCAACCCAGGAACTGAACCCAGGACCCCAGCACTGTGTGGCAGCAATGCTAACCACTGCGACACTGTGCCATGCTTAACAATAAATCGAAGTACAGATGTGCTTAGAGATCACAGCCTTTAATACCTAGAGAGAACAGTACATAGGCACTTCCACTTACCTTCAAATAGTTAACTACAGCAATCTGATAAGCAATCAGCTTTCACAGTTACTGAATTATGACCTCAACTGCTTCAGAACTCAACTGTCTAACAACTCATAGTCTCCAGAAAAGCGTAATCGTTTCATCAGAAGTAAGGGACGTGTATTTCACATACCTCTCAAGCTGTATCAGGTTCATTAGAACCAAATCTCTAGAAAACAACAAACCTGCATTCAGAGAAAAGTCATGTTTTTTCTTACTGCTCGTCCACATCCGACAGTTCATATATATTACGTGCTGTGGGTGATTATCATGCCAACGCATTTACAAAAGAAATTAGTGCAAAGAGTGTTGGGCTGCAGTGCTCCCCATAGGTAAGAACAAATCGCATAATTTTCCAGGAACAAAGTTACTATTTAACCTGACCCAGAAAAAAGGCAAGAGATGAGTGTAAAGAAATTCTAGTATTGCTAATTTGTGACCAGGGTTAAAAATGAAAATGCCTTTTATCCAAAATCTATAGCTTCCTCGCTTGGTGGCATAAAAGCTTTCAGGTATGGTCTCATCAACCACTGAGGGCTACCAAATTATCCTCTTTCGTTGTTCTCTTCTAATCATCTAGCAACTAATCTTTAAAATAAACACAGAAGATCTAACACAGTAGACCCCCTTCCCAGCACAGTTCCTTCATTTGCACCAAGAAAAGCTTTGTTTTGTGGGTCCACAAAACCCCCTATTCATTCTTGTTTTTTTTCCCCACTCAGGATTGTGGCTGTTGTGTACAGAGACAACAAAGACAGGGAGCAGCAAAAGCATGTGATGAAGTTGGTAATGCGTTCATTTGACTTTTACCACCCAGGCCCTCCTAGACCTGCCAAAAAAAACAAGGCCATTATCAGAACACTTTATCAGCAGATTCCAACTCTTCAGAATCATTGAAGGCAACGAGTATGTATTTTGCCACTCTTGGTGGCTTTGACTCTGGACTTCTATAAAAAATGGTGAACAGGAGGCCTCACCAGCTGTTTACTGGAATAAAGCTTGTTTCACTAGAAAGGAAAACAGCAAGGGCCTTATTCTAAAAAAAAAAAAAAATACCTTTGGTGACTTCATGCCCATTGGAGCTGTTGGCTTCAATATATCAGTTATTTCCAGTTACACTTTCTAAGGAAACTTGGGAAACAATGTGAAAGTCTATGGAGGCAGAAAAAAAAAACAATGCAGTATGTGTCAAAAGACCCTTAAAAAAACAATCAATTTTTAACATGCCTTGAATATTTAGAATAGTTTCTTTACACTAGCTTCTGTATTCTTTTGGGATCTGATGTTTACAATGTTATGATGTAGACCTGTGGCATGAACCACTGTTTCCAAAACAAAAAACATCAGAAAGACACAAAGAATAAAATAATGCCTAACAATCCTTATTTGTTTTTCCATCAAAGGCAGGTGTTTACATCTGAAGGTAAACTCAGACTGAAGCTCATTCTTTTAATGATTCTGACCTGTTGAGGATCCAGAAAATAAACACTAAGAGAGTAGACTCATTTCACGAAACCATTTCATCCGGATTCAATAGTCTAAGAACAAATGTGAATGCTGAAAGGCACAGGTGTCCAATGTCATTCCAAAACATTTGGTATACAAAAAATATTTGTCATGCACATTCTAATGATTTATTCCAATCTTTGCTACATGTACCAAGTATTAAATTCATTGGAAATGCTGGAAACCTCCATGCTGAACAACAAATGATCACAAATTCTGTCCAAAAATCACAGTGCCAGCACAAGTTCATTCTTTAATACCTCCAAAAAAATTTTAACACTGTCTCTAATGTTTCCAAATATGTCTACAAAGTTATCTCCGAAAATATAAACATTTAATAGAATTTCTGTTATATGTGCATTAGGCCTCTTTGTGAAATAAAGCCACCTCCATCCTCCACCCCACTTTAAATGCTACAAAAAAAAAAACAATTTTACTTCATCTGTCAATAAAAGGACAAGAACTAAAATTGCAGTACAACTGGCTGTTATTTTATGACAGCACTGCTATCCTAAGGAAAACAAAAACCTTTGAAACAGAAAGTCCAAGGAAAAAAAGAAACCTTCCTTCAAACTCATACGCACAAAGTATTTTTCAGAGCAGTCTAAGCTTTCTGCCAGGAACATGAGTAGATAATACTATAAGAGCTCCTGGGCCCTATTACGACAAGGCAACTGCTGTGCCAAAAGAGCAAGTTCACAGCCGCACAGCAACTCAGCAACACAGTTTCAGGCCTGGCACTGATGTGCCAAGAGAAAACCCTTTCAGCCCTACTTTAGAAGGAAAAGAAGGATTAGTAAACATTGCCTGCTTAGTTCATAATCTGGCATTTCTTTGTTTGCAGTATATATTAACCATCTCCTTCCACATGTGTATTTAAATATGTATGGCCATAACAGGATTCCTCTGGTCGTGAATAACACCTTCTAAACAGAACAGCCTATAGAACATAAAAACCTAAGGCCCAACTTAACAAACGTTTAACTAGGTAAATTTCAATAGCATTTGTGCACTTTCATGATGGATTTGCTACATTTTTACTGTCATTTCCCATATTTCAACAAGTTTTTCTTTTAAAAACACCATCATTTTAAACAAGATTAGCTGTTAAAACCTTAGAAATAAAAAAAACTACAGTAACTCTTCAGTAGGACTAAACAAAAGTGCAGAAATACCATGGTACAAGTAGCAAAGTAAATGCTCACAAGGGGGTGCTACTTTCAGTGCAAGGTTCTTCTGATTGCAGTCGATGTGCTGCACATACTGTCTCTGTCATCATCTTCATTGACTTGCAACAAATTCCAGAATGGTTCTAATATTTTTATGGCACTGATCACTTTTATCGCTATTATTATAACATCAAAGGTGTTCCAAAGTTTCTGAACAGAGTTTTGGCTTCATTTGACATTCTTGACATCCGAAGATGGGCACAAGATAAAAATAATAAATTATAAGTTTTAAAAACTGTGGCTAAAACATTATCATAGAAGGTTTATTTGATCATTTGACATCTCTGCTTGTCTTGGAAGTGACGTAATGACATAAAAACAGAAACCCTGAACAGAAACTGGTGGTTAGATTTATAAAATACACATGCTCGGGCTAAATGAGACTTAGCCATGAATAACATGTCTGGATTCAGTGCCACGGCCCACCACATCACTTTTTCCAGAGGCTAAATTAAAGTAGCAGGCTAATTCCCTGCTACTTGCAGGGAAATTCCAGAATAGGAAGTGCCACGCTTTCGATTTCCATGCCCAAAGGTGCCACTTGAAACCTATCCAATAAAGTTCTTAGTACAGGCTGGAAAGCTGAATTTGGCTTCAATAAAACCTAAATGAACTGCCCTTAAACAATCACGTGTTTCTTAAAAAATCCTATCGGTTCGGAGCCAGTTAAAAATTGCAATTGTGTCGAAATGCTAAAACTGAACAGGCGGAGAATGGCACCCGTTGCTAGCTCACCTGTTTAGGGTCATCATAGTACACACCGATTGAAGAAAGCTTCGGGCCGATGCTGCAGCTTTCGGTGAAGAGAGATCCGCACTCCTTATACGGACCCTGTTTGAATTTGTAGGCAATGGTGATATTCCTGATCGGGGGAGATCCAGTCCGGACGATGATTTCCGTTAACAGTCCCGAATACAGCACATACCCCAGAATAGTGAGCAACAGACCCAGTAACAGAAAGGCAATCGGCGCCAGCAATACCAGATCAGACATGATCATCAATAAGATCAATCGGAGGCACAGGGATTGTGTTGTTGTTGTTTTTGCTCGTTTTTACGTCTTACAAAACAAGGCAATACACCTGTCCCCGTTGGCTCTTGGGGTGACGCTGTCAAGCTCTGGTTAAATCTACCTTTCCACAAGTAAGCAATGATCAAAGTACATAAACCCGTCGGATTCTACTGGTGCGTCCTTTAACCCGGTCTTAAACAACAGCTAGGACCTGTATTTTTTTTTGCATTCAAGTGCCGTGTAATTATTACATCCGTTAACGTGGACACAAGAATTTTTCCAAAAGCAGGACGCAAAGGGTAGCTGCACCGCTTATTTCCCTAAACACAGCGACATGCCATACAGCTTCCTGCATACACCAAGTTCCACTTCGCTCAAGGGGGGTTGTACGAAATACAAAAATCTCTTAAGCGATCGTTCTGTGCCGCAAACAGAAAGCTATAACACTTTGCTAAAAGTATAATACATTAGACGTAAAGCACGAAGAAAAAAAATACCAAAAATAACCTTTTTTTCTCCTCCACCTTTAGTGAATATTGGTACCGACCAGCTTAGAGCTGAAGCTGTCCCATCAACATCCTTTGAAAGGAAGGTACTAGGTAAGAAGACGAAGACTCGGTGTTACAAGGTGGAGATTAGATTTCCTAGTTAAAGACAGCAGTTGCCATTTTACATACGTGTCCCAGGTTGATAAACTATGCCTTTTTGTTCAGCAGGAACGGCTGAGCCTTCCCCAAAATCACTAAATCACAGACAGACTTCCTGCTGCTGTCACATCCTCAGCTAAGTCAGCATTATCTAGTGCGCTGTAGTGTCAGAGCACAAAAGCCGATAGATCTTACCGTTTCAAACACGGCCGAGTTCATAAATTGTATAGTTATTCCCTTTGATCTTGAGCGTGTTTACATTTTCATTTTATCTTTCGTTTTAAAGTAAGATTTCTTTCTGAATAAAAAGGTTCTTCCATTCCAGGACTTCTAAAAACTTAAAATGTTTATCGACCCAACAATATTTTTGGAGAGAACCAATACAAATTAAAATGACAAGGGTACCATCTTCGCCCAAAATTATGGTCTTTATAGATATTATACTTCAAGCAGGATATCACATCTATGTATTGAACAGATAATTTATATTTGGAACAATAACTTTTTAAGTGCTGTACAAAACATTCATACAACAGTGTACAAGCCACAAAGACCATTTTAAACTGAGTTAACATTCACATAAAACTAATATTTTTCCCCAAAACTATATAAACCGTTTTCTTTTGAATAACATGTTATTTAACAAGCTTTAAATGTGCAATGTTTTTTTTTATAACTCAACAATGTCAAAGTTACAAAATAAAAATGACCTGCATGAATGTATACTACATTAGAAACCTCACATACAGTATTTTTTTCAGAGAACTTTACTGTGAAAATCTAGGTTATATCAAAAGATTCCATCTTGTTCAGCTTTGCAAATCATCCTAATACAAATACTTCAATATGGATCCCCAACTCTGTTTTTCAGGAGTAATTTTCACTCCGTCTTCCATTTCCCAAGTGGCTATTTGCCTAAACAAAATTAAATTAAAATCCTTCCGACTCCATATTTAGAATTTAAACATTTCTACCAATTCAGCAGCACATTACTACAATATGTTGTGAAGAAGGGTCTTTTTAAAGAAGAGCTCATGGATGAAATGAGCTCGAGATTAAGATTAAGTACAGGTTACATCTAGATACTGCCAGTGGAGTGGGTGTAAACAAAGATAGAAATGAATGTTTCCATCTGAAGTCTAATTAAGATGAATTTAAGTAAACTAGTATAAGCCTGTTTACACTAGTTTAATAGAGCAGTGACTGGTCTGAACACAGTCTCTTTATCCACTTCAATAAAAAGTCAAAACAGTGTTCGTTCTTCTGTGACCACTGCTAAATTCTTAACTTTCGTTGTATATCTGTGTAAAACCGTTTGGACTCATCATCCATAGCTGCACCACTTATGATGATGAATAGCTTTAGCAGAATGAGTATGTCACTAGCAGTAGACTACAACGCTGTCTGGAGCGCTGGTAGAGTTGTGAGGCTGGAGGAGGCCATACAGGCACCATAGGACCAGACCACGCTGACAGCAGCTCTAAGGGACCTTGCTAAGTCCTGTGGCCCTCTCTCCACCAGGGGGCGTCTAATCCGAGTCATCGGTACTTTCGTCATTCTCCTGCCCGCTCTTCCTAGCTTCAGAGTCGCTCCTCACCTCCTGTTTAAGAGGAGAAAAAACACACTGTAAACCAAGGATGAAGCGGGGACCTCAAAAGATGAAATTCTCCATGAGACACACAGACAGGGAAAGAGCCTGGGGTCAGAGCGCAGGGTCTGCCATTGTATGGCGCCCCTGGAGCAGTTGGGGTTAAGGGCCCTGCTCAGGGGCCCAACGGAGTAGGATTCCTCTGCCGGCTGCGGGATTTGAACTGGCAACCTTCCAGCCACAGGCACAGATCCTTAGCTACAGATCCACCGCTCCACCATAAATTTTTAACCTAATTTAGCTTTTTGACCCCCTTTATTACTAATATTAATATAACAAATAACCTGTCCACATTCTACTTGTTCTTAAAAAATAAAGTCAGCACATTCAGTGTATTAACCAACCCAGAATTCTACTGGCTGGATCTCACTATTTAAACATTGCAACTGCCTAAAGGGCATTTTGGATCATTGGACACCTTGTGAGCAAAGAGAAGATGAAGCAGCAAACGAGTGTTAGTGGGGAAAAAAAAACAGGCAATTTAATGAAAAGTAGGACTTTATGAAACTGGTTTTTAATTAAATTTGCTTTTGACACAATAGTAGAAAATTGTGTTATATAATCTGATTACTGTTCTTGTGATAAAAGCAAGAAAGTGATACACCTTAATTTACTATGGAGTGAAAGTATCCAGACAGAGCTCACAGTGACCTGGAAGAAGCTCATCGAGTCCTAACAGTAGATACATCTAAATTCATGTGACAGATAACACACACACAAACTTTACTTTGTCATTATTTATTAAACAAAAATAATCAGGCAGGATTCAGAAAAAGTAAGTGCACCCTTACTGCTTGCTTCAAGGTAACTGGAACATGTGCTCATGATTAAATGATAATCAGGAAGAGCTTCCACCTGTGTATAAAAATCTGAACCTTTGGCAGTTTGGTCTGAAGTGTTCAGGTTTGTGGTAACACATCTCACCTAAGTAAAAAAGAGATATCTGCGATGGTCTCAGAGAAGGAATCATTGCTGCTCATCAGTCTGGGAAGGGTTATAAAGCCTATATGAAGTCAATCATTCCACAGTTAGAAAAAATTGTACAGATAGAGAAAGTTCAAGGAGTGCACGTCCCAGCAAATTCGCCCCGAGTTCAGACCACATGATGCTCCTAGAGATCACAAAGAACTCAAGAGCTACATCCAGGGATCTACAGGCCTCTGTCAATACAGTAAGCATTAGAGTTCAAGAGAACCATCAGGAGAAAACTGAACAAGAATGGCTATCATGGAAGGGAAGCCAGGAGAAAACCCCTTCTCTCCAAAGAGAACATTGCTGCAAGGCTTAGGTTTGCAAAACAGCGCCTGAATGATAAGCATTTCATTGCACTTGTGCACTTGACAATAAACTGAACTGAACCACAAGACTTCTGGAACAACGCCCTCTGGACAGATAAGAGCAAAAAGGAGTTGTTTGGCCATAATGCATGAACCTCATTCCAACCATCAAGCATGTGATGATATGGGCCTGCTTTGCAGCCACAGGACCTGGATGCCTCACAATCATTGAGTCCACCACTATTCTTCCCTATACCAGTGCAATTTAGAGGAAAATGTGACATAATCAGTCCAACAAGTTAGCCACAAGTGGATCATGCAACAGCGCGATCCAAAACACGTCAGTAAATCTACAACTGAATGGATGAAAAAGAAAAGAATCAGGATTCTGGAATGGTCCAGTTAAAAGTCCAGACCTCAACCCCATTGAGATGCTGTGACAGGACCTTAAGAGAGCTGTGCATAAACAGATGCACTTAAATATATCCAATCTGAAGCAGTATTGTAAAGGGGGAATTGGCCAGAATCCCTCCCAAGTGAGGAGAGATACTGATAGATTCTTACAGGAAATGTTTACTTCACGTTATTGCTGCTAAAGAGGGGACCGCATGTAACTAAATCATGGGGTGCTCTTACTTTTTCACACAAAGCTACTAAATGTAGCCTGATTTTTTTGTTTAATAAATAAAAATGACAAAGTAAAGTTACCTGTCACTTAAGGTTAGATTTATCTACTGTTAGGACTTGAGGACTAAATGAAAGTCAGATATGTCTTAATCTGTAAAACCATAAATCCGTAAAGGGGTATATTTTTTTTTACATGACTGCAAAATTTCATGAAGTTTTAGAATTAGTTAAATGGGTAAAAGCCTGGAAATGAAAGTTCACTTTCAGAAATTAATAACGGCAAAGCTGTGACTCCTCCACCAAGTGTGGAATCAGATCGGATAAAATACGGACATTTTTAGAGAAAGGAGGGAACCCTTCATAATACTGTTACTTACATATTGGCAATATAAAGGACGATGGAGCATTATTTAGGAGGCTGACTTTTTTAAGAAAACAAAATGTATACAATTTGAAGAGATAAGTATGATCTTGTGAATTGTCTTACCAGGTATTCAATTCCAATTTTATATATATAGAAATTTACTTCACATCTTGGGTGCTTGATAAAGTATGTGTGTACCTCATTGAAAAGACCCTGGCAAAGCACGTAATAATTAACTGAGAAACTCTACTTATCTTATCTACAGAACATAACAAAGATTGACCTTTTAAATAGATCACTCTATGTAGGGCAGGATATGCTTATGTAAGAAAAGATCTTGCACATTTTGCTGAATTGACCTGTACATGATAAACACCATGAAGTGAGTGAAGTGAAGTTTCACATTAGGGACTCTGCTGTGGATAAATCCCACCTCCACTACTGTTCCATTCAGCACTGCTGTTAAATCCAGATGCAGGGGGGTCAAGACTGAGCTGGAACGAGCTGTCTGGCTATGAATCCTCAGAGATGTATGATCTGGTTTGAGCAATAAAAAGGAAGGGGAAATTGCCTGTGGTTGATTCTTTTCACTGTACTTTAGATAACCAGACTGGACAAGCAGACAGCATCCAATAACCAAGCTGGCTAGCCCCACTGTTTCCGAGTCCAACACCGTCATTCATTGGGCGTGCTCAGAAGAAAAGAAGCCCCAACTGCAGGATTTCAAGTGACTGTGTGCGACAGTAGCAGAGGTCGGAGTCAGAGTCTGGAAACGAGAAAACGAGCCCCAGTACCTCTTCTTCAGACTGCTCCTTTGGCAGCTGTGAGACCTGTTGCTCATCCTCCTCGTCACTGGCCTGAGATCTCTGCGACAAGATCTCCTCACCCTAGGGAACACCACAGACACAGAAATGAAAAAAAAAGTGACGGGCTCACAAGACCACACTGTGCTCAGGAAAACAGAAATTCTATGTAAAAACACAAGCGTTCCAGAGAATGTTAACCTCACATTACATTGTGAAGCTGTACAAGTCAAAACTTCTAGATATCCATGATAAACCCTTTGGTTTATATTCTTCTTGAGTGAGCACAGCCAGACAAATCTGGTACAAATGAAATATTATTAAAGACATTTTGTTATGATCTTTTTTGTATTTAAACTATAACAAAACTGTTTTTACTTTTACTTTGCATTAGCACTTTTTCCTAGGTGCTAATGACCTTTTTGCCCTTTTAAAGGCTACGCGGTTGGTAATGTAGCAATACCTGCAGGTCTCTGTTCTTGAGGTTTCCTAGCCAGAAAGCCTCCTGGCAGCTGTTGAGGACGAGAGTGGCCTTCACGCGATACACAAACTGCTCCAGGGTCTTCTTCAGCACTGGCACGTGATTTGTCAGTCCTGTGTCCTGTCGGATCTGAAACCAGAACCTCAAGGTTTAGGTGACACTCTGGCTTGAGCAATAAGGAAAAATAAAGACATTTTACAATGTTAATGTGCTGGAAACTTGGCCAAAAGAAAAAGTCATAGAGGTTTAAACCTTGGTTCTCACAAAAACATAAAAAGCTAGCTACAACCCATCAGGGTCAGAGCAGATAAACTGGTCTTCCATTCTGCTGCGCAGAGAGAAACACACAGAACGACCTTTGAACCCACAAGTCTGTTGAACAACACAGTCAAGAACGTTATACAGTACTTCTAGTCAGTGCCAGACATCACAACTGACCACTCCACTTTGTCATGAAGGGACACATCTGTGATTCTCTTTTAACTTGTCAGTGAAGGAGACTGTTTAGCCACTGGCCTACTGGCCAAGTAAGGGAAGCTTTTCCGTCTATATAGAATTGGAATGTTATCCAGTCAGCCTGACCCTTTTCAGTGCAGCAACTTTTCCTGGTCCTACTGTATGTAATAATTACCTTTGAGTACCCACACACGTGATGAAGCTGTCTGGTGCTCAGCTGAAATGTTTTCAGCAAGGTCTGCACATCTTCCTGCAGCACACAAAACCATGAGGGCAACAAGACCACTTTTGCTTAGTTTACCTTAAAACTAAAGACTTAAAAATATCGAACAGTTAATCTGCAACACTTGGACAGGGCCGTACATGAAATGATATGGAACTGAAGGAAATACACATGGTTGTGTTTTGGAAGGGAAGGGGTGACAAGTCAGTTAACAGATGGGAAAATGAAAACTAAGAAACAAAAGATTGTTTTTAAGAGGACAGCTGTTAACGGCTGAAAACTGATAGGACAAGCAAAAGAACTGAGCAAGAGCTGGCAGACATCTAAATCCTGAATGTTTCAGGATTGGTAATTTGGTCATTTGTAGTTGGTAGGAGACAGGCCCCTTATACTGAATATGGAATTTTAATTTTGCGTAGGTGTTTCAAAAGGGAAGGCAATTTGAAGACCCTTCTGTGCCTCTGAAGATGTATTCAAGATGCTGCATTACCTTGTGTTTCTTAAAGCTGAAATCTAATAATGGCATCCCAAGCTTCAAGAAAGCTTCCACAAAAAGGCGTCCATACTGACAGGGCAGGGGTATAAAACAACAACATGAGTAACAATGACAGGAAACACAGTTCATAATATTTTCACTGCACAATTACTAGCCACCATAAATCCATTATCAAAAAGGCACTTTTTCCTGGTATCGGGAGACTATACTATAAGCATAGGGCATGAGGTGGGACTTCATTCTGTACAGGAATCCAGTCCATTGCAGGGCCACACACATACGATCAGGTTATATGTGATTAGCCTAATCTGCATGTATGTAGAAGGTAGGTAGAAACCAGAGTGCCTGGAGAAAAGCCACATGAATGCATGAGATCACTGAAACTCCTCGAGGAATTTACCCTAGTCCAGAATTAAGTGCTGCCTTACAAAACAATTTGTATGTGTGTTTATTTTATTACTGCTATTATCAATATAGTTGAAAATAGAATATTGTGCATAAACATTGTTAAAAGCCACTCTTACCTTTAAACAAACACCAATCACAGATCTGCTGTCAAAAACCTAGAGATGTAAAAGAAAATTATTTTTACAGAAACCTAATAACTGTATCTAGAAGCAGGCTTACATATGAAGACAAGCAAACACTCCCTTGGCTGTGCATGATTGGAATGCAACACCTGCATATCAAAATGACAGTGTCTATTTTCAGAATCAGAACAGAAAATGAATAAGCATCTAAGGAGTCAATACTAGCAAGGCTGACCTTCCATACAGAACAGAGTGACTGAATGTGTTTTTATATGAACAGAACCAATCTCCTCTCCCTCTGGAATTCACCTGGAAACACCATTTAATCATAATGCAGCACACACTTTGAATCTTCTCCCTCCACAATTATTGAAGCTAAAGGAAAAGTACATTTTTAAGAGCATTTGCGAAACAATTCTGTTGTTGTTGGTTTTCAAGACAACAGAACATTCCGTTTCTCCATGCTGAATACGCTAAATGAATGAGAACAATGTGTGTCCACCGGTTCCAGTGTCCAGCAGGGACAGTGCTCATGACTTGTACGACCCTCAGCTGAGCCCTCCGCTCACCTTAACCAGATTCACCAGGATGTGGAAGTCTCGTACTGCCAGATTCCAGATACGGAGTTTCTCAGTCTGCGTCTAAAAAGACAGAGATCACGGTCACTGCCAAGGTCTTTTTTCTTTAAAGATCTTAATTGTTTTTTTTATATATCAACCCATCCATTTTCTATCCACTTTTAATCCAATACAAGGTTGCGGGGGAGCTGGAGTCTGTCCCAGCAAGGTATGGACACAAGGAGGGATACACCCTGGATGGGACTCCAGTCCATCTCAAGGCAGACACAATCACAAACAGTTGTACCAGGGCCAATTTTCCCAGAATTCAATTCACTTACTAGTATGTCTTTGGACTGTGGGAGGAAACCGGAGCACCCAGAAGAAACCCACACAAACACGGGGAGAGCCTACAAACCCCATGCAGATAGCACACCAGGTCCGGAATTGACCCCAGGGCCCCAGTACTGCGTGGCTTATGCGTGCTGCCCCTTTTTCTTATATGCTGTACCATCAAAAATTTAGATCTTTCAATACTGCTACTGTATTACCCCCTTTTCCACAGGGAGAGAATAAGGAAATGAAGACAGACTCTTCCAAACCACCCATCAGTCTAGCCATTCATTTGTGACAGGCTACAGGCTGCACAGCACCATACAGCCTGTACAGCCAGCCAGGGGGATCAGTGCCTATTAGAGGAGAGGGGCGTCCCTCACCAACTTTACTTCAAGCCTGCATGCATCCCAGATCTCTCTCTCTGAGGGCATCTGGGAGCTGAGCTCTCCCTGGTCCACTAATCCCAGCGCTAGCCCAGACAGTGCTTCACCATTTAGGGAACCACAGTTACAGCTGGCTAGTTCACCAGACACATCTGGATCACAGAGTCCAGCCAGTGCTCACAGTGGGCAGCTTTACAAGTTGAACCACAATGGATCTCCTTGTCCTTCCCAGTTGTGTTTTTTTCCTCCATTCTGCCAGCAGCCACATCACCCTGCAACTCACACCTGGATGGGAGACCTCCTGGGAACACTAAGATTGCTGCTGGAAGAGGTATTAGTGGTGGGGCCTCACCCTGTAGCCTGTGTGGGTCCTAATGCCTATATTGACGGGGACACTCTACTGTAAAAGGCACCATCCTTCAGATGAGACATAAAACCAAGGTCCTGACGGTCTGTGGTCATTAAAAATTCCAGGGTGTTTCTTGGAAAGAGTAGGGGTGTAACCTCAACATCTTGGCCAAATTTCCCCCGGTCTTTATCAGTCATGGCCTCCTTATAATCCCCATCTAGGAAATGGCTTCATCACTCTGTTCTCCTCCCCATTGATAGCTGATGTGTGGTGAGAGTACTGGCGCACTATGGCTGTTGTCGTATAATCCAGGTGGATGCTGCACATGGGTGGTGGTGGAAGGGAGTCCCCATTACCTGTACAGCGCTTTGATTGGAGTGTCCAGAAAAGCGCTATATAAGTGTAACAAATTATTAATTATTAGCATGCTTGGAAGAAACTAGAGCACAATGGCTTGGTTTTGCAGATGGTGTTTTAACAGCTGACAGCACCTATACAGAACAACAAAATAATGTAAGACAGAAGAATGTAAAACAAAAATAAGCTGCAGTTGCTGTTTTTTCTTCAAGTTGTTATGGTGCTATTTTTCACATTTAATTTTTAGGTATGATTGACTAAAAAAAGATCAGGTCAAAGACATCAAAGTCTTCATTTTGGCATTATTGCTAATATTTTGTTATAAATTAAGTCTCTGAAAGATAAAACTTATAATATTGTCATATCTCCCAGTCAGACCATTTACTGTAGGCTTGAGATAATGAAGCAGCACAAGTGTGACAAAATCACAAGCACACACAATGTTGTGTACCCTAGTGCTTTGTGGAGGCCCATGTCAAGCACTCCCAATCCACAGCAAATACTGTACCTCACTGGAGTCCGTCTGCTTCCCAGGTTGAATCCTGCGGACAGATTTCTCCAGCTCCATCATCATTCCCCGGTAGAAAACCAAGAAAGTCTGTCTGAGATTTAAAGCAGTGAAGAGTCAGGCTGGGCAAGCACAGGTGTTTGCTTTTGCAGTCACAGGGAGAGACCTCAGGGAATAGATGCTTGGTAACCAAATGTCACCGAAAAGGTTGCCTACTAACTCACTTGTGGACAAAATCAGGAGAAATGAGCTCGGATGTGAAAAACAAACCGAACTGAGGTTGAAATGTGGACACAGAAAGAGGGGATATGTTTTAAACCATGTTAAAGGAATTCTAAATACTAAAGGATTGCATTTCTTATTGCAACAACTTCTGTTCAGCACTCAGCAGAGCAATGAATTCTGGGACATTGACAAGTCCTTAGTCAAGCTTACCTGTTAAGAGTGGGGAAGGTTTTGGAGCAGCCATCCTTGGCACTGCTCACAAGTTCAGACACCCCCTCCTCAGCAATCTCTTCAATGGCCTTCAGCACATCAGCGCTGTGATCCAGATAAATGCTAAAAAGGGAGAAAGAAATGGAACCTCAAAGTGGAAGAAAGCTGATGCTCATGAACTGTTCAATATTTTTCATGATGTTTTGCTGCACAAACTGTATTATGAAACTGTATCTTGTATCTGTAACTTATCTCTCCACAATGAAAGGTAGCAAGAAACTATCAATGTTTTAACATTTCCTGAATGTGGCTACTAGATGGCAGTGTTGGTTATACTGCAATTCATGGGGGGGGCTGTTTTAGCAACTTGTTTTGAGCATAATCTAAAGCTAAAAGTACCTGAGGAGGGTCTGCAATGTGTCATTGTGTTTGTTCCCCCTCTCTCGCTCTCCACTGGGCAGAACCCACTCCTGGCACAGGAAACGCCGGGCAAGAGAGGCTGGGTGGAGGGCACACAAACAAGCACATCAGAAATCCGGCACCACCAAGGAAGAAAAGCTGAGGGATTAAGCTACATTACTGAAACTCGTCATTACGTTAGTAGCATCTAGCCAATTGAGCTAGGCGGGTCTGGTGACCCTATCTAGAAGAGGTGAAGAGGTGTTAGTGGGGCCAGCAGGGGGCGCTTACCCTGCAGTCCATGTGGGTCCTAATGCCCCAGCATAGTGACGGGGACACTATACTGTAAACAGGCGCCGTCCTTCGGATGAGATGTAAAACTGAGGTCCTGACTCTCTGTGGTCATTAAAAAATCCCAGGGGGCTTCTTGAAAAAGAGTAGGGGTGTAACCCCGGTGTCCTGGGCAAATTTCCAATTGGCCCTTACCAATCATGGCCTCCTAATAATCCCCCTCTATGAATTGGCTACTTTACTCTGCTCTCCTCCCCACTGATAGCTGATGTGTGGTGAGCGTTCTGGCACACTATGGCTGCCGTCGCATCATCCAGGTGGATGCTGCACATCCACCTGGTGGTGGAAGGGAGTCCCCATTACCTGTAAAGCGCTTTGAGTGGAGTGTCCAGAAAAGTGCTATATAAGTGTAAGCAATTATTATTATTATTATTATTATTATTATCTGGGTTTGTAACCTTTCTTTTCAGGGAACTACAGACATTTCACAGCTTGATATAGCCTCTGCCCCACCCCTCAGCCCTCATCAGGACATGAACAGATGCGTACGGAGGTTGTTGGATACCTAGGTGCTCTCGGTAAGCAGAATTACTGGGTCCGGCACACTCTGCAATCAGTATCAGCAGCTGAATGAGGGAGAGAGCTGTACAGCAGGTGGGCATGCTGCTGCGGAAATTCAGCAGGTATTCGAAGCTGTGCCTACATAGACAGGGAACACCAGAGACAACTGGGTTAGCGCAGCACTTATCCCACACAGATGTTCTCAACACACATGAGACACCAGCCAATACTCAAACACACAAGCTGACCGGGAAAGGTCACAGTGCAGTCCCAAGTAAACCTTTGTTAGTTTTAATAAAAAATATATGATAGTCGTGCTCAGAATTGTGTAATTTGTAATTGTGTTTTATCTTGTGTATTCTTTTTATTTATTGTTGTTCCCATTCTGTAAATCGCTTTGAGAAGCCACCTTTAAAGGTGCTATATAAAATAAAGTTTATTGTCAGAACCAGAATTTCGTTCCCGTCCTTTTAAGTGACCTTTACCAATCGGAAAACAGGGGCTAGTACGTTTCAAACCCAAAACGGGACCCTTTTTTAAATTAAGGGTGTGGAACAAACTATCTACTTATTTATTGAAGAAGTTTCAACTGTTTGCTTTCAAGAAACAGCTGGGCAATATCAGGGCTAAAACTAACCTTTTCTAGCAGCTCTGTAGAACATATAGGCTAAAAGAAATGTCAGGAATTACGTCTCTCAGGAGTGCTTAATAAAACTGCTTATGCTCTTACTTGGCAAAAAGAATCGTTTTAAAGGAAAACTTGACCAGCCCATTCCTACAGCCGCCAGTGGGAAGTTCAAATTAATCAGCAAGACAATTTTTGTACACATTGGCAAAATTGAGTCGTTAATGCAGACACCACAAAGGTACTTTCAAACAGGTACTGCCAACAAAGATAAGTAAGAATATTTTTTTAAAAGATGAAGTAAATATATAGAAACAACCTAAATACAATGTGTATGAAACATCAACTACTGTACACTGTCTTACCTGTATCATCAACCAGATTTCACATACTGAAATACCTAAATAAGACAAACACTCCTTCATTTACCCAGCGTACACAAAGGAGACCCATTAATGCAAATCAACAGAAGATTAATTCATTAAATTTTTTAAAAACTTGTTCCTGGTGCAGTGCAGGAAAACGACAGGCGTTTGTTTCAGCATCAGTTTCAGACTGTAACGTGACAGTTATGTTACGTTTTTAGTCTGTGAAAATGGCAGAGCTAATTGACAGTTTGCCAGATGTGTAGGTGTGTAGCTGGTTCCCATAAGCATATGGGAAGAAATACTGGAAGCAAATGACAAAAGTAGATTGCTTCTACTGATTCTGAGCCCTGGATATCCTTGGATGAGTTAGCTGTAAGTAACCCAGTGAACTGAATGGGCTGAACAGCCTCATCTAATTTCTACAGTCCTCATTCGCTTTCAGTAATGACCAACAGATGAAAATAATATTTTGGGTGAGCTGAATTACTCAAAACACACACCAATCAGTCAGAGTTTTTGTATAAAGCTGTTCCCTGCAGAACAGTACAGTCTTAGTACCATGGCGCTCTCACACACTCAGACAGGTGAGACTGAAGGTAGGGAAAGATTACCTGACCTGCTCCTCTAAGCTCAGTTCCACCTCCTTTTCCTTCAGACGCCCAGCCAGGACACCCAGCGCCATCTTCAGCAGCTTGCGCTTCTCCTGTTGAAGGAACCCATTCCTACAGCAGAAGAAGGACCAGGCAAAATGATTGCTCTTCCTTATTAGCCTAGAACACTAGAACGCTTACACTTCAGAATGGAGGAAACCTCCATTTTCCAACACTTTATCCAATACAGAATACAGGATATTGGGTCACAGGATCCCAGCAAGCAAAGGGCATAATAATAATAATTGCTTACACTTACAGTATATAGCTCTTTTCTGGACATTCCACTCAAAGCGCTTTACAGGTAATGGGGACTCCTCTCCACCATCACCCATGTGCAGCAACCACCTGGATGATGTGACGACAGCCATAGTGCGCCAGAACACCCACCACACAATAGCTATTAGTGGGGAGGAGAACGGAGTGATGTAGCCAATTTATAGATGGGGACTATTAGGAGGACATGATTGGTATGGGCCAATGGGAAATTTAGCCAGGACGCCGGGGTTACACCCCTACTCTTCTTGAGAAACACCTTGGGATTTTTAATGATCACAGAGAGTCAGGACCTTGGCTTTACGTCTCATCCAAAGGACACCTTTTTACAGTGAGCGCCCCCTGCTGACCCCACTAACACCTCTCCAAGCAGCAACTTTAGCGTTTCTCAGACTCACAGCTGCTTAGTTTCAGTGGGTTGCCAGTTGTGAGTTGCAGGGTGATACGGCTGCTAGCATAAGGCAGGATACACCCTGGATGGGAAGCCAGTCCATCACAGGGCAGACTCAGACACACTCACACAAGGGCCAATTGTCCCAATAGCCAATTGACCCACCAGCATGTCTGTGGACTGTGGGAGGAAACCAGAGCACCTGGAGGAAACACATACAAACATGGAGAGAACCTACAAACATCGTGCAGACAGCCACACAGGAATTGAACCCAAGGCCCCATTGCTTGCAAGGATAGGCTCCGTATCCCCTATTGGCCTGAATCGGAAGATGTGGTGAAAAATGGATGGATAGACCCTTCACAACAATTTTCTTAGCTATTACATGCTCAGACATGTGGCAATCCTGCACCAGAAACAGCAGCTCATCTCCATCTCTCTTGGCTCTTGGCTCAGTCTGTAAGGGGTGCAGCCCACAGTGAGAAGAGAGGGGTGCTGGAACTTACCAGCTGAAGGTGGTGTGTAAGACCTGGATTAGCAGCTGGTAACAGGAGGCCATGAGCTGGTATTCTTTCACATCTACCCCAAGCGCGTCAACCACACCCTGGTTCTCTGTCAGGAGACCCTGTGCACAGCAATGGGAGATCAGGGATAAAGTGGGACAAACACGTCAAAACATATCCTAGGTTGTAGTGTTAGCATTGTGTTGTATTGTGGAATGTGTAGAATGTGCTAGAACTTAGCTATGCAGCTCTGTATTGGTCACCAGAGTGCCTCAAGGTCGGTTAAAGTACAATAAAGACTGACTTTGCAAAAAGTAATTGGTTTGTTCTTCATGAGATTAAGAAAAGGAGGGATCAGCTTTAAAGAACAGGATGAAAACCACCTGACTCTGAAACAAATCAACCACAATCATATACTACATGAGGCTATACTGTATAAACAGGGCTAGAAAACTTTAACAGTTTGTCAAAGCTCCACTGCTGTGTGTGTTAAGCTCAATAAAAACTGAATCTGCCCAAGGCTGTCTCATACTCCTTTGTCAAAGAATCTCCAACTCAATAAATCTCCCTATAACAAGGGAGCTTACCTACAACTACTTCCTCGGGGCAGGACAGGAGAGCTATCTAGCTCTCTTTGAATATATGGGTCATACACAAATCAAACTGCCAGCTCTTAATGGAATTCTTTACAACTCACATTTACTTAGAACCTGCTGTACATGTGAGCTGCACAAGCCTTTGGTATTCATAGAGTGCTGAGACCTATTTACATGATTTCTGCTTTGCATGACATTTTCTAGCCTCAATAATCTTACACCTTACATTAAAAAACTGAAAATGTGCCTAAAAGAGGAAAAAAGGTCTAAGAATCATATACTTGTGGTCTAAATCATTTGCAAAAACAGAAAATCCCAGATTTGTCTTATGATTTTATGATTGCAACATTGAGCTATGGCTTTTTGGTCACTTTTCCCTTTTTTGATAGAATTCTGTTGACACAGCTGCAATTTAAAATCCCCTTTGTTCATTTCATTCAATGACAGAGAAGTCTGAGGGATAAAGCTCCTCACAAACCAAAGCAGTTCAGAGGACTAGAACATATTCCAGCTCCTGGGGTGTTAAGTGATAAACACCCAAGGTCTGCCTAAACATCGTTCACTACAGTCAGGCCATTTTTCTCTCATTCCTTCAGTCAAACCAGCTGGGGCTTGCTGGTGGTGTTGACTGGAGATGGTGTAGGAGCTCTGGAGACTGAAAAGTCTTGGTTATCAATGAAGGCAGCTCACGGGAAGGGGTCTTGGTGAAGGAGGAAGAGCTGGGAGTCACCTGGAAGTAGTTGTGCGAGTTCTCCAGGTGGGTACAGAGAGTGGGCAGCAGTTGCACACAACATGCGGCGATTTCCGCAGGACTCTTCTGCTGGAGGTGAGAGAATCCCACCGTCTTATCTGCCTTGCCCTGGAAAGACCATATGTATCAGTCACACAAAACAAATTAAACCCCCATATTTTTCTGAATCTGAATGCCAGCATACCATTATTTTAATGGTTCTTTTATGAACACATACTTATAGTCATATAAGAACCCTGTGACTCTGTGTGTGGATCAGGAAAGACTGAGAATTACAGCTGACCTGCCATTAGATGAGTTATCCTCCATAGATAGGATAACTAGTGAAGGATTAGAAGATATTCTCACATGGATGTGATTAAAGGCAAGTTTGTTATATAAAGGGCTTCACAGGTCTAGCTAGTGGTCAGGCTCAGAATAGCAAACTTCAGTGTGGTTTCCACTGCTAGTATGCAGAATAAAGACTCCTTCACTGCATCGATCAAGTCATTCCGAGTTCTTAATGTTCTCACACACTGAGAGCCTCCTTATTGAGTCAGAAGCTGGTCAATTACACGAATGAGTTCAACAGAAAAAAGGCAAAGTGCTAATTTACAATACATCGAAAAACTCTTTAACATTCTCCAAACAGCCTAAAAAATTACCCACTTTAATTGTACTCATTATAACATCCAATGAATTCTGAATTACAAATCTGAAGCTCGCCTCCTTCCACACGGTATCCCCAGAAAGAGATATCTTTGACGTGAATCCACTTGGTGATAACCTCTTTACCTTGGAGAGCTCTCACCTTGAGAAAGGGAGCCCTCTTAGCAGGGGAGGCTGCCAGGCTGAACTCCAGCTTCCGGGACAAATCTTCCAGCAGGAATACGAGCTCCGAAGGGCCAAGTCGCACTTCCTCACGCACCTGCAAGGATCAGAGCATCGGCTCTCCTTACCATATCCCAGCTGAACTTCTATTACATAGCTCTGGGGCTGCTTCTGTACTCACGACTGCCTTAAGAATTGGTGAAAAGGAGCTGTAAAACCAAAATCTGGAGGGACTGTAGGGACAAGTGTTTAAACCTGTATAATACTGTTCTGATAAAACTGCCTTGCTCCCGTTTCTACACCGATGATCAGGTCTGAATTTATCTGTTTCATAAAGGGTGAGTGTGAGGGATTAAATGAAAATGCAGTCTCAGCAATTAGCCCTTATGTTTTACCAACTGCCTGTCTAGTTCAGTCTTAACAGTATAGCACAGGCCTGATGTTCACCTTAAGATTTAATCCTCACTCCATCACTGCTGACGCCTTCCTACCGTGCCCTCTGTCCTGAACCCTGAACCCAGGCACCGTACCCTGGTGTGGAGCTCGCTGTCCAGAAGCGACCGGGAGAGGACACCACACTGCAGCACATTCAGCACCTCAATGTCCAGCTCCCGGAAATAAGGCCGGAATGAGGCCAGGCTCACTCCTGCCTTGCCCTCCTCCTTCTCCTTCTCCTTCTCTGCGTGATCCTGGAGGGAAAGAAAGCCCAGGGGGGAAATGAAGCCATTGGTGGGCTTTCTACACAGAAGGGGGCAAACTATATAAAATAAAATCCTAAATTTAGGAAATTACTGAAGGCATTAAATGAGCTAAAAGAAGGGAAAGGATCTAGGCTGTTTCAAATTGTTTTTCTAGAATACTTTTCTAGACAGAAACGCACAGCTCCGAAGATCTCCAGTGAGCCTTTCCCATCCTGCCTAACCTGTTTCCTTTCCTCCCCTCTGGAAAGCAGCTAAGGTCTCTCAAAACAAGGATGACTAGGTTCCATAACAGTACCTACCCAGAGGCTGTGATATGCAATATGGTAATGCAATATGTTTATTTTCATACTCGTCATAATACAAAAAAAATTCATATGGGGCTTTTCCAGCTCGCAAATGATCTTTTTTTCATAACACTGATTTAACACAATTGGAACAATAAGCCTGTTACTCTACTAACTACTTCATGCACTAAGCAAGAGATTACAAATGCAAAATCATAAAAATGGTAATTAAATTATCCTTTAACCAAATGAAGTAATGTAATGTAATTCTAAAAATGCTCAGTCACACAAATTACAATGAATAAGGGGCGTAGCACCCTAGAATAAAGCTGGGCCAGTGGATGAACACAGTGAACTATCATTCACATTTCTCTGTAATTTCAGGCACAGAGCTCTGAGATCTGTTTTTCTTTTCCGTCTGCCGTGGTTCTCTTATTTTTTAAACCAGAAACTACTGTATGGTTCCCGAACAGGCTTCTGGAATGTTCTATGCGATTTTCAACAAAAGCACAAGACAGGAAATACAGCTCTACATATTTAAATAGCACGGCAACCTAGATTTTACAGGTGTTTTCCTGTAGGGGGGTGCCATTCGTAACACATTTATAGGGGTGCAGCCCACGCTGTTGAGGATCTGTTGAAAGTAACAGTGCAAGCCTCCTTAATTTAAATCTGGTGTGATCTAGAAATCTTAGGGTGTGCAGAGCCCAGGTAAGAGAGAACAGGAGCCTGCCTTATGGAGCACCAAAGGGACGTGCCTGTACCTTCTCCTGCTGGGATTCCTCGGCCTCACCACCCTCCTCCTGCTGAGAGCTGTCTCCAGGGACGGCCTTACTGGCCTGGGCCTTGCGTTTCTTTCCGCCGAGCTCTGTGGGCACGGGAAGCATGCGGCTGTTAGGACAGAGTTGAAGAAGCACCACACAGCTGCCCCACTGTTCACATGCTACCCTTCAACTCCTTCTCCTTCTCTTTCTTCTTTTCACCTGGACTGGTCAATGTGGAGTCATGGGAACTAAAGGAAGCCGTGATAAACCAGAGCAGAGCAGCCATTTGAAAGGCTATAAAAACTGGAAGCCTGCGAGGAAGGAGAATCATTCCTCTTTTAGCTGGAAAAACTCACGTTTGATATTTAACAACACGGACAAGTCAACGAATGCCTAGCCAACAGCAAACAAAGAGTGTTCAGGTAAAAGTTAATAGAAAGAGACAATAGCTCTTCAGAACAAACTTTTTTTTCCTTTTGTGCCTTTCCTCTGGTAGTGCTGTACCTTTTCTGGCTTTCTTGAGAGGAATGGTGCTTGTAGGGGCTGGACCTCCTTCTGCAGTTTCACAGTCAAAGTTGGCGGGAGGGGGCACATAGCTGGGAGTTGCTACATCAAACACGAGAGAGGGAGAACTAATTATGTTTAACTTTTCTCCAAGTGGGTCAGACTTCAGATGTATACTGGCAGTTAAGATGTGTGAATTGGTCAAGTAATCCCACACTGCTTCAGTTGCATTGTAGTGTAGTGTGGCTGCTGGCACATAACGGGCACCAGGTGGGTACTGCTCTGTGGTTGCCAAGTTACTGTATGTTCCAGCTTGCTGTGACCCTCAACAGGAGGACGTTGGATCAGGAATGGGCAAGGTTGGGGTGGTACAGGAGGTTGAAGAGTTGCAGGGTTAAACTGAAGTCCACAACACAAATTTATGACCAGCCAGAGCAAGAATGAAAGAGTACTGGTTAGACCAAGCCTGACAGCAGGAGCACGCATTCCTGGGTACCAAACTGTGGCCAAGAGAACATAAAAGGTGATATATGAGAGAGGTCCTTAATATATGTAGTTTAAGCAGAAATTGAGGAAAACGAGCCTAGAAGCCACAGAAAACTTGGATTTGGTTGCTGTTGTGTTACAGTAGCTCCAAAGTGTTGTACAGCTTTCAGGTTTACAAACTGTTTGCTGGGTACAAAATCAAGCAAAAACAATGACGCAGCAGTGAATAAGATTTTCCATTTTCCTGTACCCTCAGTATCATTTTCGCCATGACAAGATGGATATTACAGATAGGAAAAATCTGATAATTAAGAAGCACGTTCTCAGCTGGAGAAAGAGTGCATGAAAAAAAAGGCCATGTACAGGTTGGGATTTTTTACAGTGCAAGTGCATTACAGTGCTGCTCAGAGATCCAGGTCCTACCTGCCAAGCACCTCTCCAGGATGCTCTGCAAATAAGTGATGTTCTGAAGACGCATCACCACCTTCAGCTTTACCTCAGGGTCCTTCTGTCGGCAGAATCCATTCACCACCTGCAGTTGGTAAAAAGAACGCTTCTGTATTTGTGACACGCATAAAGGTCTGGGAATGTCAAATGCTTCAGAAATTCTGAACTGCCCTAATGATCTCTCACTGGTAACCAGCTGGTGAAGGTGAAGTATTACGTTCTTCAGAACACACACCAAAGCACTCCCTTTCTCAGCATTTCTAAACACTAGCAAGTTCCCAGTAAAACAGATGTGAAGATTACGATTAGATTATGTAGCTGGAGATCTCTGTACCTCTCTGAACCAGTTGATGGTGTAGAAAAGCAAAGTGCAGAGAAATTCCTTCTCAGACTTGGACAGGGACTCGATCTTGTCAACGACATCCAGGTCAGTCAGAATCAGAGGACACCCTGCAAGGCAGAGACGATCCCTCTTACTCCCAGCAGGATGTATAGAAAATTCTCAGAGCAGTATTGCTTTGTTACAATTTGAATGTGGTAGTTCAATGCTTAGAAGTGCTTTCACACTGGAGGTCAGTGTTTCAGAAGTTATGTCCAAAATATCAGAGCATTTATTGCTGCACAGTCTCAAATGCGAGCTAATGTGTTACAGTAGCTCCAAAGTGTTGTAAGGCTTTCAGGTTTACAAATTGTTTGCTGGGTAGAAAATCACTCTAAGTTAAGCAAGACTAATGAAGCTGCAGTGAATAAGATTTTTTATTTTCCTTTGCCCTCAGTATCATTTTCGCCTGCAGTAGCAGGCTTAAGCCCCCTGACCTCCGACCCCGGTGCCCCCCCCCCTCGGTGTCGTTACCAATCAGGGCGTCGATTTCCTCCAGGTCGCCGTCGTGCTGCTCTTCCTCGCACAGACGCAGCAGGCGGAAGAAGGAAGCCAGGCGCAGTGGAGACACCTGCCTGAAGCACCACGGGGAACAGTAGCACTTTACCACTGGTGTCATCTTAAAACACATCCTCACTCTTTTCACTCGCCCTCTGGTTCAGCATTTGTAATGCTAGGCCTTCTGCAGATCGAGAACTTAACTTCAAAGGGCAAAAAGTTCCAGAGAATGAAAAGGCCTCAGAAGAATCCTAATCAAACAGTTTTTTTTATTTTTATGTCTTTTCTAATCTTTTCCCGCCAAAGGAGCAAAGAACAAGTGACAAGAAAGTGAATACGTCAATGTCATGTAAAGATTTTATTTTTGTGTTATTTTGTGTTTATATTATCTCTAACTTTGCTGTACTCTCTTACCATATATCATGTTGTTTAAAAGTTTGTTTAAACAGCTGAAACAAACAGCTGAAGACTGGAAAACTGTGACATGATTAATCAGACAGTGCTATATCTTGTCTTGTGTTGTCGTATCGCTTGTTTTGCATTATAAAGGCCTGTTTTTCAAAGCGTCGTGCATACAGCACTTATGTGCTGGAGAGACACGGGGTTACTGACTTCTTGTTCTCCTCTCCAGGCTGACTCCACTGCGCCCCCTTCTGGCTGAGATCTTTGACAAGCAGTGGCAGGAGGTTGACTGCAATTCCCCCTTGGCTCTCCTCCTCCTCATCTAGGCTATACATGACTTTCACAGGGAAGGGGAAGTCTCTGAAACACATAGGCAGAGGGCTGCAGAGAATGGAATAGTCCCCTCGCCAAACAAAGCTGCTCTGACAACAATGGTTTCTACAGGACAGAAAACCCAAGGAGAGAAACATGGAAACATTCAACAGATAAATGCATAGGCCTATATTTTATCACCGTGCAGTACAGAAACTCTCGTCAGATCAAATCACATACAAGCCACAAACACAGAAACAAGAATGATATGGGTTATTGAGATTAATCTCCAAGCAGATAGTTAATCATATCAAAATCAGAAAGGGTTTATATTATACAGATCTGAAAATCATAGAGGTGTTCAGATGCATACAGTCATCATAGGAACAAGTAATAGGTTTATTCCATGCTGAAAAAAAGAAGAAAGAGAACACAATGTTTCGGCCGTGGAGCCTTCGTCAGGTGTGGTCATCATAGCCTATGCTGTCATCATAGCCTACAGTCATCATAGCCTATGCTGACTATATGTCCTTACCCCTGTATCTCTGGCCCAAGGTCCACCACAAAGTCATCCTGGAAATCCTCAAGTACACTTTTCCCAATCCATTCCTGCAATCACACAGACAGAAAATCTTATGCTGCTTCACGCAACTCCAACTCAAGCTTGATGCTCCCCATCGTGTAATTCTCTGTACATTTTGTTCGGATAGAAAGACACTTTTGTGTCTGTCTAAGGGGGTTAAAGAGCTAAGAGACAAACCTACACGGCTGCGAACCCTGAAAAACTCAAGAATTGTATGAGTTCTGGATGGCAGGAACTGGGCCCCTCTAGTGTGAACAATACCTTCTATGAACTAAAAGACACACTGACAGGTCCTTGTGCTACAAAGTCAGTGCGTTGTCCTATTGGCCGAGTGTGAAGGAAGGCTCAAGCCTAGGAAAATGAAAGCAATCCCGGCGCAAGGCAGACTGACCTGCACAACTTTGTCCAGGTGACCAGTCTGCACCAGATTGGCCAGTTCATCGTAGTACAGCGCGGCTGCCTCCGGGGAACCCTCGCTACAGGACCGAACCAGCTCCAGCAGGGCCGTCACCTGACAGGAAGCACACACGTGTCGCCATGGCTACCAACATTCTTTCCAAACATCCGATTGCTTTCCTGCCTACTTTTCTTCTTTCAGGATGAATTAACAATTTTGAAAAGTGATTTGGGATTCATCCATTTTCCAATCTTTTCTTCCAATTCAGGGTTACTGGGGAGCTGGTGCCTATCCCGGCTTGCAATGGGTACAAGGCGGGATACGCCCGCAGAGCACACACAGACACAAACACTTACACACTCACACCAGCGCCAGTTTTCCCAGATGCCAATTAATCTGCCAGTATATCTGGACTGTGGTAGGAAACCAGTGCATCTGGAAGTAATCCACTCAAAACCAAGGAGAGCATACAGACTCCATGCAGACAACACCCCAGAAATTGAACCAAGGCCCCAGTACAACGAGGCAGGAATGCCAGTCACTGCACCACTCAGCCATTCTGAAATAAAACTAAGAAGCAACAACATTACTTGGTGGTTGAAAGGAGCTGAGAAAACTTCACAACTGGCTCACCTGCCTACAAATTTCCTTGGACAGAGAAGGCTCCTGTCCATTTGACGATGCCGAGTTAGTCCTGGGAACAAAGACAGTTTGGAATTCTTATTCTGCATGTTTCTGAGGGGAGTCAAAGAGTTCACAGCACTGGGTATACGGAGTCCCTGTTTAATCCTGGTCTTAACGTGCCGATATGTTAATACATATTACACAGACAAGCTGTTATAAACCCGCTGCAAGGGTGGATTTCTTAAACTTTTAATCCCATAAATACAGAGAATAACAGCTAGACAGGTAACGAAACTAGGCAACAGAAATAAATATACATAGCTGCCCACTGTTCCACTCCTATCTGACATTATTTTAAAAAACGTAATGATTGTTAGAATGCCCTGTAGTGCAAAATCCATCTAAATATGTACTGTACATGTACCCTACACTTCCCTGTTGTAACTTATTAAAATGCACACACGCCAAACATAATTATACTGTATACTGCCACTCTTCCAGCTTTAAAGGTTACCCCCACTCTAAATTATGTATTTAGTGTTGTAAACTATATAAAGGGCAGAGAATCAAAAGGATGTTCATGCACAACGGTAATGTTTAGAATTTGTAAAAGCAACATATTATAAAACACAAACACTTAAAAAACCCAATAAAACATGGTGTCTATATAAGCTCTTTATGTACGTACTAATCTGAAGTTACTTTAATTTAAAAACAGCAAAGCTAAAACAACAATTAAACTATGTTGTTTTTTTCTATTACAGTTTGAAGACTTGCCCCTTTCTGAGGTTTTAATTTTTTAACTGTCAGTCAATCAGCTTAGTATTTCGTTTTTAGATGACTTTCAAGGCAGTGGGGAAAAAAAGAAGACTGAAGTAAATGAACACTTTATTTTGAACACAAAATGAACACTTTAGATGAACACAATATTTCCAGAAAATACTTGATTTGCAAATCGTTATAAAATAACAAAACTGTAACAAAACTGCATCAATCTATTAACATGCTGTGGATTGTTTTAAAGGTTAAAGATCCTATTGGACTCATGGCTGGATTGCCACAGACAGCTTTATTACTAAATTACTATAACCTCTAAAAATTGAAAAGCCACTGTTTTACTGTTTTGACACATGCATGTCAAAAAGGAACAAACTTATTTAGACCATAATTCACAATAATTTCATCAAGTAAATGTGAAGTACCATCAAGTACCTTTAAGAAGCATATAAAGTATAGCAGTGTTTCTCATAAATGTGAAAATTACAGTACAATGGAATATCTTTTCTGACAGACTCATAGTCACCCAATGCTTTCTCTGACCTCTTTAAGAGCTTGTTATATTTCCCTGTGGAAAGAATGGCACCAGAGGCCAGAACATCCTACTGGCTTTTTTTCAGAAACTTTTCTGAAACTCTTCCTCTTTCCTTTAATTAATTTTACCAAGTCAGTGTCCTAGTGTCCCTTTGCCTTTAAGACATGTATTCAAGATGAATAACTTCAGCAAGCGGATAGTTTGAAATTCCTGCTTGAGGATCAGATTCTCTCACTTCACTGACCCCATCAAGTTTCACGTAACCAGGGAGTGATGTTTGTTAGTATATCATTAACGTTAATGTAATGTAATGTTATTTGTAAAACTGAATCCACAACCTTGAAGAAATTGTGAAACATCATAATATTATGGGGTAGTTATGTACTCAGAAGTACGGTTTTCCCTTAAAGCCCATCTTTTTCCTTCTGGACTGTACACTCCTCTGTTACTGCTGCTCCTCAGTGCAGTACAGATCGCTGAAATGACATGTTGATCTCCAGTGCCCCCTACCTGTGAGATGCCATACCACCCACCACCATCACTGCGCCTATGATCCCGATACGTTTGTACTTGGACACCGTGCTGGACAGCTGCTTCCGGATTACGATGTGTATGTCATCCTGCAGCAAGAGCAGAAAGCGACACCTTCCATCAAAACCCCACATTGAAGCATAAGAGCACGAGACAGGTTTGAAAAGAAAAGAGGCCATTAAGCTTGTCTGACTGCTGGCACCTGAAGGACACTACAAAGACAAGTGTCCAACTTCAACAATGGGACTGGGTAGCTTGTTGCAGACTCTTACAATTGTTTAAGTAAAACAAGTTACTTAACATTGTGTTTATGTTTTTGTGAAGCCTGAGCCTTGTTTCCTTGGTAAACACACCTGAGCGAAATATTTTATCTCTGGGACACCTTTACTTTTACCTCATTTACTGTTCTTTTGATGTAAGAAAAACTGGACTTGCAAGTCTTGTACTTATTTTACTTTATTCTTTAACAGAATGATTTTAGATCTTTTCTCCATATATTTTCCTAACATAATGTATTAAATCAATCTGGCCATTGGTTTCTAACTTTTATTTACTTACTCTTCAAATGGAACTATTCTGTTGCTCAAGAGGAATGTCATTAAACTTCTACCATCAAGTTATTTACTAGTTTCCTCTCTTATCCCATTGTCTCTCAAGCTCAGTCTCACTGCTATAGAGCATATTGCCATTTCACAAAACAGCAAAACGATGAAAAAATATGGAGAAATGCATATTATCAAATATTAGTTCAAGTAGGTAGCAAGCGTAGACTGCAAAGGAACAAGTAAAGGTTTATTCCATGCTGAAATTAGAAGAAAATAAACACTGACACCAGAAGAAGGGTCCACAACTGAAACGTATTTCTTTTCCTCTCTTTTCAGCATGGAAAATACCTTGACTTGTTCCTTTATAAATATTATGTGTCATTTTTAATGATATTCCATCTGAACAATGTTGTGCACAGACAGACACTAAATGAGGCATGCTCTCGCTGACCTGCACTACGCTGTGGCTATCTTGGCTAAGCAGTCCAGTAGATGAGCACAGCCGTGACCCAGGCAGGCCAGGAAGAGGCTACTGACCTGGATGTGGCTGCCCTGGGGGTGCGATCCAAAAGCCAGCTGGCTGAGGATGAAGAACAGCCTGCGGATCTGCTGGGGCGTCAGGTTGTCCATGTAGTCTAGGATCCCCTGCACAAGGACACAAGCATGTTCATGACCACACACCAAACCAGCTCAGCAGCATCCGGTACTTACAGATTTCAATCTACAACTGTACCAACATAAACCCAACCCATCGGAATTAAAACCACAGAACTGCACGTCCATCCATCTGTTTTCTCACTGCTTACTCCTGGCGGTAAAAGGCTAAGAAGAGTAGACCAGACTAGACTTTCTCCAGCTCCAGGCCAGTTCAGAGAGATCCCTCCACCAGTCCTATGTCTTCCCCAGGGTCTCTTCCGAGTTGGCCATGCCCAGTACGCCTCTGGTGTGAAACACCAGGTGGGCTTCCTCACCAGATACCTAAACCACCTCAGCTTGCTCCTCTAGATCTAGAGGAGCAGCGACTCTACTCCAAGGTCCTCCTTGACTGCCAAGCTCCTCGCCCTGTCACAAAGAGAGTAAGCCCAGCAGCCCTACAGAGAGACCTCATTATGACGAAGTGCGTGTGAAAGTTTTAATCCCTTTAACTGGCCGCAACACATGAAGCTGGAAGGTCCTCTCACCTTGATGAAGACGGCGTACAGAGACATGTCGGAGGGCCGCTGGGTCACGAGCTCTCCCAGCAGCTCCAGGGACACATCCACCTCATGGGCGTAGCCGCTGCACACGTGTGCCACCAGCGAACCCACCACCTCCTGCGGGAGACACAGCTCTCTCAGCTACCGCCCAGGGCCAGCAGATAATCACTGCATGCATCACAGGGCCGGGTGTATTGAGAGCCTCTCACAGTCACAGACACATTCTACACTGCGGCAAATGCAGCATTAAAGGAGAACTGCACCCCAATTTTTATAATTTGGGGTTTAGAAATAATCAGCATTGATGAGTGCATTTCAAAACAATAAAACTAAATGGTACACAGTAACTTGTAAAACCTCCAATTTACATCACAAAACAGATTTCCAGGTATGCGCAGCGCCATATTCTGTGATTCACGATGAGGCAACAAAACTTCTGGTGAAGTGTTTCAGCTCTATTACATTGTCAAAAAAAATAGGCTTGTAAATACATCTCTCTCAATCCAATAGAAATAATGCACTCGATTTCAAGATGGTTTTGCCAACAAATACAACTTGTTAATTCTGCATACAGATCATGTTTGAACATTTCTGCGGTGAAATGTCTGCTGTACCACCTGAACTTATTTGCTCGGACATCACATTACATTAGTCATTATGGTGACTAATGAGCAAGAAGGGCCGCTCCAAGTCACAATTCTCGCAAACTCTCGCTGTGCGGTCAAGACCAGGGGTTTGCAACAAAATGGCGACTTGCAGTATTTTCTGAGAAATTGGGACTGCAGCTTAATTTGAGATTTGCAGCTTGAGAGCAATTAAGACAGCACTTTTATTCCAAGGTCTGACCGCACACATCACTTGAAAACACTGATCCTAAAAAACTACTGGTGTTTTCAAGCATTCAGGTTCCTAATCAAAATTTGCTTCCTGTTACCTCAAATAATTCCAACATGCATCGATAAGAGAACACAATGGAGAGCAAAAGAAAGATCACATCCTTTCACCTAAAAACAGACTTACATGGCTATCTGATGTTTATGAAGAGATCGGTTAGAGGCAATTTTGCTCAAACAAATTCCCTTGCAATGTATTTAAAATGAACATACTGGAACCTGCAAACCAGTTGAACAATAGCTTTTACACCATTTCATATTTTTAATGTAAAAACGTCCCCCACATCTCCCCAAAAACACACAGAGGTCCCTGACCTTCATCCCACATGTCCTCAGGGATTTGGCAAAAAAAAAAAGTAATCAGATAAAAACAGGGCAAGATTTGGACTGAAGCCTATGGCATGGAAGAGAGGCGTACCTGCTGGCAGTAGGAGTCAAAGGCCATGAAAGCATGTTTGTACATGTGGCTCCCAAATGTCAGGACACTGGAGTCGGGAGAGCGCAGGAGAGTCTGAGCCAGCGCCAGGATGGAGGGGAAGTACCCACACATCACCTGTACCACACATAAAACCAATGAGGACCTAATTCCTCCACACGGCAGCCTCACTCATGCACGCCTCACTCAAACATCGTTATTTCTCTACAGACGGCAAAACATGCCTCGTTTGCAGGGCAATGAATGCCACGTAGTGAATAACTGTAAAGGAAATGCTAGACAGTTCGTGGCAGCGTTTCCTGAAAATCACAGACAAGTCATAACCTTGGAGGACAGACCTGAAGGCTATTAAAAGATACAAGTGCCTTCTACAGAACAAGCTGAATGCACAGCTGCACTCAAGTTCGGCTGTGGGCACTACCTGCCGAATCCACATGCTGCCTGTGTCATAGTGAAGAGACGGGGCTGGGGGGACTCACCAGGGCATGACCCCGAAAGGCGGTCTGCAGGAGGGACTCGCGAACCTGCCCCGCGCGTACTTTCACCCGCAGGAGGCGCTCCACCTCGCGGCGCCCCTGGTTTGCGGTGGCAGAATGGAGAATGAGCAGCGCCATGATGTCTATGACCTGAGCAAGGAAGGCAGTGGCCATTTTAGCACATTTAAAAATATATAATATAATAAAACAGCACAATTTTTTTAACATATAGCTAAAAAAGTTTCACGATTACATATCTGATTTAAGTTTTAAATAAGTGAGGCATGTCTTTAAACATACTGCCATTTACTGAATGCATCATTTAAGACGTCTCGCCTCACAAGAAGTACAGTTCCTGCTCCTTGAAAAAAAACAAAAAGCTGCAGGATGATGAGGAACTGGAAAAAAACGACAGAGCAATTTAAACAGTAAGGAATGAAGAGAGATTTTCTCTTACTACATAAACATTATTTGTTGCCAAAGGCTTTAAAAAATGATACTAAACACCTGTTTATTATGATAAAAAAATCTGACTTTCCCCTGCTTTGATGGTCTCCTTTGAAAATTAGATAGATCCTGGCTGCCACCTATATACTAGTATCACATTTGCAAATTCCAAATTAATTGTGTAATTGTGTACAATACACACCAAAATGTGTATAAATATATTTTTATACACTTAAGACATTGCCTGATTTTTATACTGCATTGCAAATGTGCACACTGTATAGTTACATAAAAGCATTTTATAGCTCAAACTTATGACCCAAGTATTAGTGAGTTAAGGGACCATTTTAAACATCCCATGGAGTTTTCCCCTAATGAAGGTTTGATTTCATGGTGAAAAAAATGAGCGTTTTACCTTGTGGTCTTCTGTTGCATCAATATTCTCAATAGCCTTCAAGAAAAAAAAAAACACATGAATTTAAAGAAGTGAAAATTCTAGTTGGCTCAAAAACAACTGACAGCACGAGCCAGCGTTGCTCCTCACCTTAAGCCATGCCTCTGAGATGGGCTTCTGAAAGCGAACGGCTGATTTGATGACATCTAAGACCAGTGACACGCAGTCCTGGCTGCAGCTGGCTGCAGGGTGGTGGGAAGATCTAGGGCCACAAGAGAGACAGGCTAGAGCAGGGATGTCTAGGCCTGCTCCTGGAGGCCCGGCGAGTCTGCGGCTTTTCATTCGGACTCAGCTCTCAACAAGCTAAACTAGCCAGTCAAACTGGACCAGCTGAACAGCTTCTCCCGGTACCTTGCGTGCTCCTGCTTGGGAGAGAGCTAGAAAACCTGCAGACACACCAGCCTCTCCGGGACCAGGCTTGGACACCTCTGAGTTAGACTCGATTGTGAGTTCAACCGAAACATTTCCTCTTAATCATTCTGTGTCATTCATGTAGTCCAGCACAAAGATTGTTATGAAAATCTCCCAGATAAATTGATGGTAACTGACTGGGCCAGTCTTTTTCCACAGAAAGAGATACTGTGGCTCTCAGATTGAGATTTCAGTCACTTCATGCCAACAGTTGTTTGCTATTTTCATACCAGCAAAAATAAAGCTCTATACTTAAACTGTTACAGACGTATTGAATATGCTCAATATATGCTTTTCTCTTTCTATATAGAAAGTTAATGCTGGTTTATGCTCCTGCACAAGACCTTGCTCATAGTGGGTGCGCTCCCATTACAGCGACACAAATCACAGAGCTTTTTCAACCTACCCAGCTGGCCCTTTGCTCTTCAGTCGGTTCTGGGAGGCTTGCAGCACAGGGGGTAAGACACACGACTCGAGTTCCAGCTTCTTCCTGAGATCACAGATGACCTGCAAAGGTCAGGTTCAAGAACTCTGTCAGTGACACAGCTTCACATGGTCTTAACATCTCCAAACTCTGCCTTCAGCCCTCCAAAGTCCTTCAGGAATGTCAGCCCTGGACGTCTGCTTTTCAAGTTTTAGGACATGGTGTGGAGGTGGGGGCTGGATTCTAAATTTGTGGCTCACCTCATAAGCTTCAGCTCCTGACAAATTGTGCAGTATGAACTTCACAACCACGGGCAAGTCCTCTAGCTCCACCGCAGAAAGAGTGGTCATGACAGCCTGACGCACCTGAGGGGCCAGGTTGCTGTGTTAGTTGTTTTAATTTAAAAGGTCTTTTCTGTTACAGCTTGCTTTGAAAACATTGAAGAGAGCTGTATGCTGTTGTTTAAAACATATACAGTATGATGCAACTGGAGGTTATACAGTACATATCTTACAAAAATACAGTCATAGCTGTTTGCTGTGAAACTATAAAAAGATAGTGCAGATGTATGCATATTTAATAGGTTCAGGTCAGAACTGGACTGAATGAGTTACATGAGGACCACATGGACTTAAGGTACTGACCACTAGTTTTTGCAATGCAGTACTCTACCTCAGCCAGCAGGGTGGGGCTCAAATTGAGACTGGAGAGAGCATCCAATATAGGCAGAGTCAACTGCGTGTTCTTCTGAAGTAGGGAACTGCACAAAGACACGGCCAGGGAAATGGTTTTTGGATTTCCAATAAGGACACAATGCTGGTTTTAGACAAGTGAGTTCAAAGACCACTCACTTGAGCTCCCTGGCAATGTCGTTGTGTTGCGCGTCCTCAAGAATCTCAGGCAGGCTGCTGATGATGTCCCGCTGGATCTCCACTGGTGCCACAGCAACCAGCTGCATCAGCTTATTGGCCAAGTCCTGCAAAGGAGAATGAGGAAGGCAAAATGGGAGAGAACAAAAATGAAAACATCAAAATATTGGCAAGGGAAACTAACGTTTCCACTACTGCTTTTACAAAAGCAATTCGACATATATTCACCAAAGGCGACTGGATGCAGTATTGATGAGGAGTGACAAGCTCAGAAGTATAAAAGCCTAAACAAGAAAGGAGCCTTTTCACTTACTTTGCTGTCCATCACTCTGTCCAACCACTTGAACTGGTTGATTATAATGCGGGGAATATTCAACCCATCGTCTCCCACACTGCAAAGGAAAACAGCTGGTGAGTTTTTACAGCCCAAACTAGATCATCATCATCATCATCAGTGGGTAGACTTCTGAGAGGAGCAGGGTAATCAGAAGATATTACAAAATATCTACAATCCTTATGTCAGATTGTTTTTTTCTTACTTCAATAATGCATAACTGGTCTCTTAAGGAGTCCTCCTAGCTAGGCTCTGAAACGATGTTTAAAATGTGAAAACATACCACAAAGTAATACAAAGCTCTCTCAAATGTATGTCAGTTTCCTTCTTAGTGAACAGTGTACAATAATAAATTCATAGCATAAACTGAGCTCAGCAGGATGACCAATGAGCAAAAATAAGTAATTCAATCAAATGTGCATGGACAGTCAAAGCCAGCAACTCAACGTGTGACAAACACCTTTATCACAGCAAGAAGAAGGACATTTCATCAAAAACTTACCCATCATACATGAACTCGGGCAGCTTCTCAAACAAGGTGTTTATGACAGATGGCTGGAAGAAATAAAAATCTTTTAGCTCACCCTCTTCTGTTCCAAGCACAAAATGCAAATTTTACTTCCCAGTGTTGACATATAGCGAGTTAAGAGACAAACACTATCACTCTACATCTGCAGAATATTAATCCAGCCACCTGCAAAATCTTAATAATACACCACTCATAGAAATAAAACAGAAGACAGTTCCACTGAAGCAGGTTACATGGAAGTCTTCAAGACAGCTGAAAGACATCCTGGTCTATAGACTATAGAGGGGCCAAACGTCCTACTCCCATTTACAACTATTTTATGTTCTAGGCCTAATAGGTGCATGAGCTACATTAGGGCTGCAGGTTTCCAGTCACAAAAGTTTCATAAATACCTGAAGCATCTCAATTCCCAGAAGCATCTTGATGAGACTCTCCTGGTATGAAGTGACAGCAGTGCTACAATGAAAACCAAAGAGCATGATTGCAGTGATCACCCAAATGCATATACATACAGTTTCACTAAGTTCCTCTCTGAAGACAAAATGCTCCTTTCACAACGGCACTGAGACTCATCTAATCCCAGCTCGTGGAGACCCAGGTCACCATTACTCCTGCCGCAGACGCAGGTATCCGATTGTAGCAAGAGGAAAATTGTAGACTCATGTCATCTAAAGGCAAAGAAAACAGCAAGAGGAGGCCTTTTTCCGCCAACATGTTTCATACTGTAAGGTCACAGCTGACAACAGGAGAATCTGCACTTTTCTTTTCACCAGATCATTCAATACTGTTATCTTCCAGATTTCTCTTTCCAAATGTTGTGTGAACTGTTTTAAGTTTAAAAAAAAATATTGTCTCTGCCATCGATAATTTTCAGTTCATGCCTTTATTCAATATTAAGATACACATTTTCTGCTCCTCTGTGTATTTTGGTGATAAGAGCTAAAGATGGTGAGATTAAGACTAGAATGGCACAATCTACCCACCAGGACTGACAATTAGTCCACACAGTATTCCATCTTACACTGCCTTAAATAATGAAATACATGAATTTGCCAATAATAATAATAATAATAATAATAATAATATTTGCTTACACTTATATAGCGCTTTTCTGGACACTCCACTCAAAGCGCTTTACAGGTAATGGGGACTCCCCTCCACCACCAGGTGGATGTGCAGCATCCACCTGGATGATGAGACGGCATCCATAGCCAATAACTGGAGCTTGTTATTACCATAGGGAAAATTCAAAATAATTCCATTTCTAATTTTCCTATTTAATTTATTAATCATATCAAATGTAATTAATTTGCTAATATGAAACCTAACCAGTAAGTGCAGTTCTCTAGGGAATTGTGCTCCTGTATGAAATGGAAAGCCCTCTGAACACTTTTCATGCACAGTGAAAATGAAACATATTAAAGCACAGTGTTGAAAGAACTGTGTACAGCATCTGTTCTTAGTAATATTTGGGCTGGCCATTCAGTTCAGAGATGGACGTTTCTGTGACACATTCTTGAGAGACTGAGAGGAGGAGGCTGACCCTATTAGTTTAAATTAGTTTAAATTGCAGTGTACAAACTGTGTACTTCACTCACCTGACACTGGGTTACCACTCACTCAGGGTCAAACACAAGTAGAGCATACTTGCGTCAAAGGGCTTAAATTACGAAGAACAACAGGTATCACTGCCAAAGACTGAAACAGTTCCATTCTTTTTTCATATGATTTCCAAAATAGAGCCTTGCCTCTCCTTCTTGAAACCTTGAAGCAATCTGAAAGGTTTCAAGAAGCAGGGCAGGTCTCTGTAGCCTGTTCCGTGTAGTTCAAAAACATCCATTAAGAGAGACCTTAATCTTTGAGGTCGTGAGGAGTTAAGAGTACCAGCCCAATCAAGACTCGCATGGGTTACCTGGATTCCCCATCAGATGAGCGTGGGACACAGGGCAAAAGGCAGTTCTTGAACTTTTCCTGATCTTCAATGTGAGACTCCAGTCCAGTAATAAATTCTTTAATTACCTGCAACCAAATACACACTCATTACCAAGACTGAGCACCGCATAAAGAGTCAGAATGGGTAACGAATGAGTTCTAGGCTGTATACTCACATTGGGATAATGAGGATGTTTCCTCAGGCTCCGCTGAAGTCTCCCGTGGAACATCGCTTGATCCACAGCTATAAAACATGCCAGATCCACTTACACCACCAACCAATGCCCACATTCCTGCTGCTGTAACTTGGGCTGCAAGGCTTAAAATCTTCAAACATTTTAAAATATTTTAGCAAACATTTTTTTCCAATTACTTGTGTATTAAACCATTTAGATCAGGTATTCCCAGTCCATTCCTGTAGGCCCACACACCCGCTGGTTTTCATTCTGGCTGAGCTTAATTACTTAATCCAACACTTAATTGAACTTATAGGTTTCTTGATTGAAACATCTGCAAGTTTATTTTTGGACTCAGAAGGCTGGGATTGTATGCTCTTTATGACTAACATGTACTAAATGCATCAATTCTGCTGATGAACCTAACACTACTTTAAAACACAAAAATAAACGGGAAGGAAAACATACCAGGAAACAGAGTCCACTTACTGATTTCGTTGGGCGTGCGGCCCTGTCTCAAAGCGATACCTGCCCCCCTCACCAGCTGGGCAAACACAGACTCCCCTGCGTGCTGCGTCGCGTGCTGCGCTGTGGGCTTCAGGCTGCGCGTCCCATCACGACTCTTCTTGCTCTCTGCCGGGGGATATACTAGGGCTTGACAAGGACCCCAAAAAATTGACGCGCAGTACTCGGGAGGGGTGGGGGCAGGTGTTGAAAAATCATGTTTTTTTTAATTCATCTCCACTTACTGCACGTTTGTTCATTACAGGTGTTAAGCTTCCTTATACATTACTGAGAGTGAGGATAATTCGAATTTCATTTAGGTTTACAGAATCTGAAACGTGTTTTTAAAAAAACCAAACATGTCCAAGAAGGAAAGAAAAACTGTACTGACGTAACATGTTTTTTTAATGTTTCCCATGGATTGTGTTAGCCATGCAGGTCTCTCAGCTTTGTGTATTTTATTACTGTTTTTTGGAACCCTACTTCCAAATTCAAAGTTACATAAGAAAGACAACAAATGAGAGGAGGCCATTCGGGCTATTTAACCCAATCAGCAGCCAACTGATCAATCGATCTCATCTAGCAGTTTCTTGGAGGACGTCGGGGAATTGGCTTTAACCACCTGGCTGGGGGATTTGTTCCACATTGTAGCTGTAGTCCTGCTATCACAGGGAAGGGCGGTGACGTCACCAGCTCTGGTAAACCGGCTCTTACACAGTACCTGTCGGCCGTATGCGTTACAATATCATCATGTCTGCTGCTGACTAGCTCTATTATCAGGGGACTGCCATATTGAAGGACAAAAGGTCTGATTAATTATGCCGAGGAATACGTTTTTTTAATTAAGCAAAAACTTGCATTTTGTATTTCTGTCTTAATGTGGCAAAAAATAAAATCATGACAGAAACCAAACCACTTCAGCTATTTCACCGATGACTGGGCTTAGGATGAAAGCAGGTTTGGCAGAGCCTAGCGGTGGATTTTACTATCTCACTCTTATGATTCTGGATTCTTTTATCTCAATAAACTGAGCTGCAGGTGATATGAGGCAGGTGTTTGTGTGGGTAGGAAGGTTGGGGGCAGGACAGGAGGCAGAGAAGTATTGTTCCAAAACAAAAAGCAATCAGGGTTGTGCAGTCCTGGTACTGGAGGACCCGGGAGGATTAACTCTTAATGGGTGACAGAATATCAGTTTTTCTAAGTGCGCTACTACTGCTGTATCGAAAAAAACACAGAAATATCTACAAAGCGAAATGGATATACAAATGGGAATTATTAAGAACTGACATGTCTACTCTGTGCATTTAAAGTTTAGAAAAACGAACGTATTCCGAATTCGTTTGAAAGCAATGTCTTCCTAGAGTAGGCTAAACAAAGTTGAATAAACGCATAATTCCGCATTTCTGGCATCATCAATGGATTACAGAGTAGTTTTTTTTTTTACTTACTAGACGTGACGGAGGCGTCGCTTTCAATTTTATCCAAAGAGGAACGCCTCTTCTTTCGCATCATTTTGATCAAACCACTGGTCCTGCCTTAGCGGTGTGTATCTGTAAAAATAAAAAAAAAATAGTCCCACAATTGTAACCTCAGGAACTATTCGTGTTACTTATTTGCCCTCGGTGACATTCCAAAACATATGAGGGAATTAAACACATTAAGTCATAAACATAAAAATATAAGGACAACATCCATAGTTTTTATTTGGTAAACAGCAGCTGAAGACTGCGTCAGTAAGTCAAGATTTACAGTTGCAATTCCTTTATTTTCTACTACGATTTCGTGCAGGGTAGCTAATTTGAACGGTACATTTACATAACCATTCAACGACAGAAAATACTCAGACCCACCAGTAAAACAGACTCGCTGAAATCCCCCTCAACTAACAGGCTGTAATTCAGAAAGTTACTTTCCCGCGCCAGTGTTTGGCAGCGGGTTAGGGATTGTCGTCAAATTCAAGGACGCATACGTCAGCGAAAGCCGGAGTACATTAATGGGGTGAACTGATGCAGTACTGTCTCAGCGAAAACTGTACATGTTCATTAAACCAACGACATAGCTGCCAGCAAATAACAGTTTTTTGGATAGCTGTTGCATTGTCTTAGCTATTTTGTTTTGGTTTGTTTTTTATTGGCAAAACGTGCTGTAGTCGGAATTATTTCCTTATTTACATCCCACATTTTAATTCGACCCTAATTGAAAAGGCATCTGATCTGATGTTCGGGACTATTTCCGTGTTGTTCCAGTCCCGGCCATTGGGTGGCGCTGTGGTTTACGCCTGTTCCTTCCTGTTCTGTTGACCGCTCTTTCTCAGCAACTCTCTTGAGCTCTATCTACTCCTCGGTGCTCTATGGTCTCTCGCCCTGTGTAGCTCCCGACTTCCTGGTTTCGAAACGAATTATGGCTGCTTGTACCAACGAGAGCTGATGCAGTTTAGGTGTGGGGTTTTCGCCTTTGATTAAATCGTCGTACAACGAGGAAGGGAATCCGGTCATTTCGAAAGCTGCCCCTGAACTGAATGACTGAAGGCGTAGGTTGCATAAACTTCTCTGTTTGGATTGCTTTTATATTGAAGTTATTTAGTCTCATCTTTCCGCTACTGTAGTAGAGCGTTTCGTTCATCTCCAATAACTATCGACATTTGCACATCCTGTGCGTCTGTTCGTTACAGGTATTAGACTTCCTTATACATTATAGAAAGTGAGGATAATTAGAAATTAATATAGGTTTCTATAATGTGAAACGAGTTTTGAAAAAAAAGCATGCCTTTGAGGAAAAGAAAAATTGTTTTGTTATAAATTTAATGTGCTGCCCGTGTTACAGTAACTATCATCACCGCCAGAGGGAATTAATGTGTGCTATTATTATTAATATTATTAAAATTACGTATATTACGCTTCGTATGTATAGTTTTTTAATCGTTTTTAACTCACCATTGGTTTGCCACAAAAGAAGGAATTCGGTGGATGATTGTCTGAACGATTCTCTGGAACCAATAGGGAAAATGACAGTGTTTTCTAATGCGTGAAAATGTTGAAATTCCCTAAATGTAATGTGTTTAGCTATCTTAGATCGCAGCAAAATCTCTCTTTTTTTAACTAAAGAAAGTATGGGAGTGCTTCTTAAGAATACGAGCTGACAAAAGTACTTTTCCAGATTGGTTTCTGGAAAATCGCAGCTGTGCTGTAATCCTTTGACTGATCGTTTCAGAGGTGGAGTAAACCTGCAAAAAATATATTTATTAAATAAGGAAGGGTGTCATTCTGCAAAACAGTTCCCGCCTTTGAACCGGTGGCTGGACCCTGTTGGGGTCACGTCCTCTCTGTCTCTGCAGCTACAATGGCAGAGCCTGAGCTGCTCCTGGATTCCAACATCCGCCTGTGGGTGGTGCTGCCCATCGTCTTCATCACCTTTTTCGTGGGTGTGATCCGCCACTATGTGTCCATCCTCCTGCAGAGTGACAAAAAGCTCACACTGGAGCAAGTCTCCGACAGGTATTTCCGCCTTGATGTCCTTCACTGCCTCTCTGATCCGGTCTCTGGCTATGCCAGTCCGGAATAGGGTTGGCACACCTTTGGGATTTATTGATTTTCGTGATGGAGGCTTTCTCTTGCACCTGTTGGAAACAAAGCTTGGGGAGCAAGAGCCACTTGCGTTTAAAGGAGGGCACGATGGTGGCAGGGTTAAAAAAGTAACAAAAACAAGGAAGTTTACAAAATTAGGGAGGCCCATCTAGCCCATTAAGTACGTAGCAGTCGAGGTGAACCAAGGATTTCAAAGTCAGGATATTGATTTCAACTGTATGGCTGGGTACCTTGTTCCGTATTCCCCCAGCCAAGATTGTCCTTTGCATACTGGGAGTCGAACCCTGACCACCTGGTGAAAACCTAACAGCTACACTATATGGGAGTACCGCAGTTTTCCTGGAAAAGGTTCCTGGAAATGTCAGACATTTGTCACCAACTACTAATGCTCATTCTGGTTCCTGAAATAGGATTCAGTTGAGCCGCCCCCACAACATGAATTGCCAAACTGTATTTTGTTAACATCTGGATTTTAGGTTTCTATCTCAAAATGGTCAAAGTGTGAATTCCTGTTAATGAAGATACAGCACAAGTTTCCATAAGTGCACCAGACTCTGTAGAAAAACACGGCATATGCTTGCTATTTTTTAGAATAAAAAACCTCTGAAATTCCTAATTCAAAACTGGAGAAAAGTTTGATGCACTCTTATTTCGCCAGGATTCTGTAATCCTGGAACCCAATAATTAAATGATCCATAAAGTCGGGATGATTGCTTGTTTAAGAAGCTTTTAAGGGTCAAGATGAGCATTGATGGGTTGTTGTGATTTTCACTGATTCTCACATTTGTTTTTTTAACCCTTCAGTCAGGTATTGATAAGAAGTCGAATTCTAAGAGAAAATGGAAAATACATCCCAAAACAGGTACTGTATGTGCATTTTAATGTTTGATGTCTTTACACAGTAAAATATGTATTACTGTGATACACAGACGTGTGTTGATTAAAAACATCTTTAATACACTGCATAGAAAGCTTTGCTTTCCTTCTAACCATTTGGGCTAAATCGTTATATATATTTGTTGACAAAACTGCCTATAAAATCCTCTTTATCTTGTTTTATTTTAGTCCTTTTTAATGAGAAAGTTTTTCTTCAATAACCAAGAAGATGGATTTTTTAAAAAGACTAAAAGAAAGGTTGTTCCACCTTCTCCTATGACAGGTAAGGCATTCTAATAATACTAAAATAAAAGGTTTATTTTTTAATATATATGGTTATAAAAAGAGCATATAATAACATAAAATAAGGGTATAATTTTATGCTATGACTGAGTTTGGTTACAAAGTAGTAATATGGCCCAAACTTAGAAGAAGCAAGTATTTATTAACACAAATTAACATAACATTACAAGTTCCACGTATTTACATGTTTAGTTTGAGTTCAAGAGTCCTGTCTTCTATAAACACAGAAGACCAAAAAGTCCCTCCTTATAATCTAAATAAAGCAAAACACCTTGATTCTCCATTCTGGGAATTCCAGATTAAATTGACTGAAAAGATTCTTCCATTGCAAGTATGAAAACGCTAAATATGGTCTTCTTTCCATTCAGATCCCAGTATGTTAACAGACATGATGAAGGGCAATGTGACCAATGTGCTTCCTATGATCCTCATTGGAGGCTGGATCAACTGGACCTTTTCCGGGTTTGTCACCAGTGAGTTATAGAGGGCGTCCGTGGGTCTGTCCAGTTCATAAGCAGATCCTCATCTTTCAATTCCTGCCATTCTTATGTTTTGGGAAGACGTAGCTCAGCGCTGCTGCCTACAGCTTCCAATGACTGCATCTGGTTATCTTTGGTTGTGGAGTTGGGTGATGTTAGGAAGTTTCTCCTCTGCTCTTGAGCTGCTAGGGGAGCTGCGTGAAGAGAAACAAATACAATATTGAAAAGACGGCTTCTTAAGGAAGTTCTGTTAGTATTTTTGATATTACTTTGTAAAAATGCTTATTTTTAATGGAAAGGCTGAAACACCATATTGCCTAAGCAATGTTCCAGCACACATTTGTTTTAATTTTATATAACAATGTGGCACTTTTTAAAAGCATTACCTGATTATGATATCTCCAGAGTTATTGCTGCTAGGTGCTGCTTAAGATGTTGTTTTTACAGTAACAAACCTCCATTGCATAAATTATAGGTGACTTCATTGTTAGATTGAACTCAGGTGTCTCCACTGTTACTTCTCATGTTCTGTGTCACATCCTTGGTTACAGCGATTTTTAAGTGTGTGGTGGTTTTTAGCTCACAAAATTGCACTTATTCCACTAATCTCACTGCTCACTCCTCCAACTTGTAGAGACATATTAGAAGGCTACAACGCAAACAGTTTTTTGCCTCTCAGTGTTTTAAACCTGGACTCTTCTCTTCCCACACAGCTAAGGTGCCATTTCCTCTCACTCTCCGGTTCAAACCGATGCTCCAGCAGGGGATTGAGCTCCTTTCTCTCGACGCCTCCTGGTCAGTGCTCCGTTTTTTTTCTCTCTCGCAATAAGTGTGTGCGCGTGCTCACTGTTGTACGTGATTCCTCAATCCATGGATGCTTTCCTTTGATGTTTTGTGCCGTCTCTGCGTCTGCATTTACATGCCTGGACCCTTTCAGGAATTGTAGACTCTGTGTTCCTGGGCTTGCCTGCATGGTCTTGGCAACTGCTTGTGCTGAATAGAAAATGCGTTGTCTCTTGTGTCTGTCTGTGGTGGCCTGTAGCTGCTCATCTGAACATATTTCCTCAACACGGTGAAGACGTTTGGGTAGGATGAAACTCCCCTGAAGCAGATGCCTATGAGCCTTGTGCAGCTGGTATAATACAGTGCTGCCAATAGCAATCACCATGCTGTAAACAGCCAAATAAATGTTTAACAAGGCATAGTTAAGGTCTGTTTTTTGTTTCTGTTATGAAGAGCAGATATCGGCTTCATTTTAAGTTTCATTGACAGGTCAGCACAAAAAATGAAGTTTTGTTTTGTTCCCAAGCAACAGAGCAATGAAGAAAGTTTGGTGGGGTAGTCTGTGTATGATATTCATGCCACTCTACAGATATCTCGGCCCCCCATAGGAGATGTAAGTGCAGCCTCTGTGTATCTGTATCCCTACGCGGATTAATTTCAATAACCCCTCCCCTTGTTTGTATGTTTAGGGTGAGCTCAGCATCGTGGTATTTCCTGAACGTGTTCGGCCTGCGCAGCATGTACTCCCTTATCTTGGGACAAGACAATGGTAACGTACACTGTGTTCCTGAATATCATTCTGTGCAGTTCCCCCTTACTTTCCAACTTTGCTTGCGTGCTAGTGTGCCTACCTCAGTGCATATGGCTTCTGTTAAGCAGAACTCGACTGTGAGTGAGGATAAGGCCGTGAACCAAGAAAAAAAGAAATGTAAAAAGTAAAAAAAGAAATAAACCTTTGTGCTGTAAATGTAGAGTCTTCACAAAACCATTCAGATAGCTGGGCACGAAGAACTGTGTGCCTTCCTTCCCAAACGAAAACCACTTCTTTTACATCACTCTTCTGAACGTCAGGCTGAAGACAAAACTGTCTAAAAATAGATCGGGGCCAGTCCTGTTTGAGCAAAGATGTCTTTGGGATGGCAGCCCTCCAGTTAAACACAGGCCAGGTTTTTTCTGTTGTTGTTAACAGCAACAGGTATCTACCCTGGCTTAACAGTGTTTGAGAATGTAGTGGTGTACATCCATGGGAACGTCTTTCACCGTCACATCCCCTGAGCCCGCAGAAAACCTCTGGTAATTGAAGAACAGGCAAATCTCCTTAGAAAAGTCCAGTTTAATTTGCCTCTGGTGCCTCCCGGGTAAGGTTTCAGGATGTCATGTGTGCCATGTTTGAAGCATATCTGTCCCAAAACTCCCAGCTTTTATGACGATGTTGTGCTGTAGCATTGTACGGATAATTACATGAGGAAGTACAAGTGATGGTCCTGATTCCAGCCTTCAAATTGATTTGTCTCTCATCAAGAGCTCTTCTTCATGAGGACTGTTTTCCTTAATGCCATTGTACACACTCCTACCTTTGTTGGGAGTAAACTGTATTGAGGTTCCCACTTTGTTTTTTTGCATTTTTATCCTCTTCTACACAGCAACCTTAGATCACCACCCACCATGCTAATTTTTAAATGAAAGGATTAGGATAAATATTTTTATTTTGTCCTGTCAAAAATAACGGACATGAAATCTCTTGCCATTACTTAACTTTTCATATGAAAATCTGGATTTTAAAAAGTTTCTACAATTCTGTTTATTGCGGTCAAGAGTCTGTCAAAGACCGTGGTCAAAACAAATTGTTCCATGGTTTTCCCTTCAAATGTTCAAGTTTTTTTTAAGGATTGTTATAAGCAAGATGAACTTTAAAACACCAAATTATATGCAAGGATTATTAATGCTGCTTGAAAACTCCTGAAAAAAAGCATAACGCATAAGCATAAATTGTATAGGAAAAAGAAGCTCAAACAAAACATTTATTAATTTTACTGAATAGGAATCTCTTGCTCTAACTAGATTCAGTTTTTCCACAAATAAGTGGGTTATTTTCCTTCCCAATTCCACCTTGAACTACATAATGTTCTTCCACTCCCAATTTTGCTTACCGAAGCCCATCTGATCCCACGTCCACTGCAGGGCGCTACTTTTACTCCATGCTGACCTGAGTCATAGAGTTTGGTGCATCGTAGGTTTAATAATCATGACGGTGTCTCGGTACGCCATCTGGTGCTAAAAAGCGAATCAAACAGCTTTCCCCAGCAAGCCAAAGCATTAGAGTAAAGATTGCAGTTGACAAATGTACCTGAACTGGGTGTGAATCTACAGGTGCCGATCAGTCCAGAATTATGCAAGAACAGATGAGTGGAGCTGCCATGGCCATGCCTGCAGACACCAACAAGGCGTTTAAGGTACGAATGACTGAATGACTTGGATGGTGTATCCTTGCCATAGTTACCCAGCACACACAACGCTCTTGAGTTCTTGAGCGACTACTGACCATTCGCAATGGCAAGATGTTCATAGTCAGCTTTTCAACAAAAAATGTATAGGAAAAATAGAGACGGCCAACGTCTAGCTACAAGTAACAAGTGTTATTATAGTGCTTTGGAATATGTTACAGATCTGGGAGCCCATGACAGCAGGCCAGAACTTAAAATGTCCATGCCATGTCTTATTATAGTGAGATTACATCAGCAGGTTTGTTGCACTGCGCTCTTGAAGATAAGCGGATAAACAACTATTAGTTCTGTGTTTTATCAAATTGTTTTCAGGTGCCCTCCCTAGAACACAGAGATCATTATAAAAACGATGTATTGTCTTGTTCTCAAAACATTAAGCATAACATATGTGAGTCAGACACTAACAAAATTCTGCAGAGAGAACTTTACATTCCCTAGGCATGATTAGGGATAGAAATGGTCCCAGCTGCTTCATTATTTATTAGAATGGGATACAGAGAACCCCTCTTTGTTGACCCCAGAGCACATTGTAGCTGCAAACATTAAATTTAAAAGCCCTCCCACACTGTTGGCAAAGAGAACGGCTATCTGGTTTGTCTTCAAACATGAAATAAGGAAAGATAAAAGCAGATAACTTCTTTAGGAACTGTTTTCATGAGTAGATTATATCTTATAAAACAGGTTAAATGAATGATACCAGAAAAAGAGCCCGTAATCTGAAAACACTTGTATTGGTCATTGCCACTCCAGTCAGAGGGTCAGTGAAGCTCATTACCAGCTGTGAGCTACCAGACATCCAGGATTTCTACTCAGGTAGATGTCTGAAGGAGGCCAGGTCCATTCTCAAGGACCCCAGTCATCCCGGTCACAAACTGTTTTCCCTCCTACTGTCCGGTAAACGGTACCAAAGCATTCGGTCCAAGTCCAACAGACTACGGAACAGCTTCTACCTCCAGGCAATTAGACTGCTAAATAGCCAACCTGCAGCTCCTTTAGCAAGTCACCTGTAATGGCTACATGGACACACAGTTTTCACTGTATTCAGCATAACTGCACTACTTGTATATATTGCATACACCATGGACACATAGCAGCTCTACTCATATTGAGTTTTATTCAATTTCTATTACATCTATTATTATTTTCATAACCTCAATTTTGTGATTTTTGTGATTTCTGTGATTCTTGTGATTTTTGTGAGCTCGCGGAAAAGACATTGCATTGCCAGCGACTACTGCTGCACGCTGTATTGTTGTGCATTTGATAAATCAACTTTGATTTGATTTATTTGATTTCTTGTTATCCAGGCTGAGTGGGAAGCCCTGGAGCTGACTGACCACCAGTGGGCTCTGGAGAGTGTGGAGGAGGAGCTGATGAGCAAAGACCTGGATCTGGATGGAATGTTCAGCAGCGAATTGCCCACTGGCATCTTCTGATTGGCCAGAGCATGTAGTACTGACACAGTGCTGCAGATTTCAACAGCAGCTGTATGGGGAGAGGATCAGAGCAAGAGCTGCATGAAGAAATGACCAGGTTTTTCTCGGTTGAACATTGTTGATTAGGAAGTCAAAAAAACAGCTGCCTACATTTGTATTGATTGCTCTTTCTGTGGATGTCCAGTTCAGGAGAGGAAACCCTAATTCTTCGAGGTCTGCTGCAAAATGCTTCATCAAACAAGCTCATATGTTTGTATAACTGCGATTTTGATTTTACCCTCCCTCAGCGAGGTGCAGTCAGTGGAAATCAAAGCTGCTGTACCATGGTAGACTCCTGCATTATCCCTGTTCAGGATGGTTTAGCCATCTCTGAAAAGGTACTACCAGGAATTGAATACTGGTTCGCGCAGCTCCTGGCATAGGGATTGTACATCACAATGCTTTACAAGAATTACTTGGCTCTGCCTCAGTTTCAGCTCGTTTTATTTTTGTGCTGCCTCTTCATGGTGTTAGTGTTCTGGTTTCTGTCTCTACCCTTCTGCACCCCTCCCCCTCAACACTAATCCCGTCTTTGAGTTGAAAGCAAGGCTGGCTGGCCGACACAGCTACATAATTCTGACTCTTTAACATGTACATATTCAAATGTGTAGAATTCAACCATTGATGTTTAGTGTAGTGTATTTTTTTATATTTATTTTCCAAGCCATATTTCGTGTAACATTCCCTTCTGTTTTGTAAAGAGACGGTTTTGACTAGAGTTGTTTTTTGTGGTTTATTTCTCCTCTCATCGTAGTCCTGTATATTGTTAGCATTAGGGTAGTAATGTAAGTTGATTCTTTGTCCAAAATGGCTGACCATCTGAGGTTTCTGTTGTCATGGTGATGGGGATCAGTATATAAATACTGGTAGTAATAATATTGTACCCCCAGACTTTGAGAAATGGAGTTAAGTAATTTACTGGCAGTTTTTACATTATCAAGTGCATTTATGATATATAAAAATCTATGATACACTGTGATAATCTGAAATGGTCAAATAGTTCAGTATGTAGAAACCTTGTGGGATTGGCATTTGCTTGTAGATGTTTTGATTTTCCTGAAAATGCTGTCCTGTATGCAAGACAAAAATGTCCATTTAAATCAAGGGGGCTTTACTCCAGTCCTGTAAGGGGCAAACCAAAAGGTTTTAAAACATCTTGCTAAAAGACGTTAAAAAATCAACAGATGAGGGCTTTTGAAGTGTTTAATTCAGGCAAAGTGAATGAGTAGCTCAGATAAGCAGGAATGCTAACATCTGGAATGAAAACTTGTAGACACTACATGTGGTCTTCAAATACTAAAGCCGTACAACATTTTCAATAGTTTTTGAAAGTGTTAAGTAGAGAGTTTCCACTTGTAGTTGTAAAGCTCCCAAATGAGGCTAGGAAATCTGTACACCAGAATACAGGCATTTTGGTTATTTGGTGTACTCTGCTGTTTTATTACACTTACGTCAGCATGTGTGAAATAGTGTGTGTGACCTGCACGTGTGTGGTCTGGAGCACTTGATGGAAACTGTTTGGCACTTAGACACAGCTATTGTGATGGCAACTCAAATCTATAAATTATCTTAAAGCTGGTTTCTCAGGTTGCTGTGGGTGTTTAAAAAGGGGACTGTAATAGGGTTTGTGACACAACATGCCGTGACAAGTTAAAGTTGGATTACTACAACTCTGCTCAGATGTTTGATTCCATATTGTTTAATGTGAGGTGCTTCAGAAGTAGTTGTGTTTCAGATGTTCTGATATTATCTTGGTCTTTAAATTAATATCCCTGAAGAGATAATGACACTACCAGAAAAGAAGTGATCCTCATTCCTCCATTACGATGCAACTAGTAATAATTTACAGCTATTCAGGTAATTTGGAACAAATGCTTACTTTAATTTTCCTGTCTTGAGTCTGTCAAAATCAATGATTGTGGCAATTTATTTTTTCATATGCAACGGTCTCATGAATGCTAGCAGATTTCTCACACAGTTCAAAATGCAAATGTTTGTAACAAAATAAATGATTAAAATTATATACCACTACAGCTCATTTTTATTTAAAATCTAAGAAGTCGACATTTTTTTTATTTTCAACAGCAGCATTTCAAGAGAAACGGTCTTAACCAGGTCTTGACGTTTATTGATGAATTAAGCCTTTTAATTTCACATCACAGTCTTTGCTCACAATGAGTCAGTTATCGACTCAGTAAGTCAGCGCCTGAAATGAAGGTGGTGTCAGATGCTTTGATTTGTACTCTCCGGTTAGCTAGGGAATGGAAATGCCTATGAGGAGAGACTGGGCTATTCAGTGTGCCTTGCATGGCTCAATGTTGGCACCCTACAGATAAAGAGTGCACTCTGAGCATGACTGGAGACAGGAAGTTATTGTGCTGACATCACTAACGAACTTGGCATTGCACAGTGTTAGCAGCAAACTCTAAAGAAGACACCAAAATGCAGAGAGTGCATGGAGCACCAGGAAGGAAAGTCCAGGGTACACAACTTTGTCCAATGACTGGTAGCTGACATTATGCCCTCCAAGACAAGAACACCCAATTCCACACAGATCCTGCTATGCTATGAACCCAGATTGAAACTCTTCTGGCCTAAGGTGGCTGGATGTCTGTCTAAACCTAATCAGCAACAAGAATAACAGCATTATTGCACTTGTTCAGGAGAGGAAAACTTTGCCTTAGGAAGGTATTTGTAACCTAGTCAACAATGTTTGATATTGAGGCCAGGCTGTTACTGACATTCCTGGGGATGACACCTGATATTGACACTGGATTTTTACAATTATGGGGATTGTGCTTGTTCACTGATAATAAAATTATAATTACTGTCTTCTGTATTTTATTGGCTGATTTAATTATATTTTTATCATAATGTATAATAAGATGTGAATTATATTTTTAATATTTAATATAACTGCATATTCAAGACAATATTAATAATATTAATAATTTGAGGGGTAATGTAATTTTTGAGGAACCACTGCTCTTAATTCAAATCAGTGATCCACATTCTGGGATAGTAAAACGAGTTAAATTTGCAGATGCTACCGAATTAGGGTTAGCAAACACTAGAGGTAGCAAAAACATTCAAGAATATGTACATGAAATTCAAGATTGAGCAAAAACTTGGCAGATTATGTTTAAAGTAGACAAGTGCAGGGTTTTGCATGCAGGGATAACATAAAAACATGCGCTATAATACAAAATGGGAAAGATGCTACTTATAAAAAAAGACTTAAAATGATTATGTTGACATATAACAAATTATACTCGATTTATATCTCCTAGAAAATATGTGAAAGCAATTAAAAAGGCAAAAAATGTTAGGATATATACAGCAGGGAATTTAAATTGTATAACACTAGTAAGGTCTCATTTAGAATATTGTCTACAATTTTGGTCACGCAAGAGAAACGCAAACATTCTGGTTACGCAAATATTCTGGTGCTTAAAGGAACTACATCCTACACTGACAGGATGTATGAACTGAACCTGTTTATTCTTAAATAGAGAAAACAACAAGAGCATCTGATAGAAGTATTCAAAATTAAGTTAAGTGCACTGCAAATTTCTCCAAAACGCAGAGAAAAATGAACCAGAAGGCACAAGTCGAAACCGTATGGAACTGTATTTTAAAACAGCACTTGGTTACACTAAGACATGTGGGAGTGTGGATCAAGTTACCCAGCCAACTTGTTGAAGCAGATAGCCTGGCTTCTTTCAAGACAGCTGGTTGAGATCTCCAGATCAATTAACTACAATCAAATCAGCTGGATGATTCAACTGACTCCTCTTGTTTTGTAACCTTTTATGTTGTTGTCCTAAATGGTTTTTGAGAAGTATATACAGGTAAATGTTAAATGCATATATCGGTGTCAACTATTGAATATAAAACTGTTTTTTAAACTTCGGTTTTGGTGTCCTAAATTACCTGTCCTCCATATCTATATTAACATTGAGTAGTCCAGTGAATAGGCTAGAGATTCATCTTTGAAGTCATGGGAAAGAGTGTAAGAATATTCAGTGAATGCTGAAGAATATTTAAATCGCAGTTTGCACGATTTCATTAATATATATGAATTATGTATAATGTTATAATCATTTTGTTAGTTTCACATTCAAGAAAGCATAACTGTTTTTTAAGAGATTTCCTTACATATTGAATCAAACTAGCCAGTCGCGGCTACGACTTTAAATAAACCCTTACAGGTGTTCATTTTAAAATATTTCAATGTAGGTGAACACAGGGTAATCTAAACAACGTGTATTAACGAAGCTCACTACCGGGGTCAGCACCAAAACCTCCCATTGGCGTGCTTCTGCAATGGGATTGAGGTCATGACCCAAGGGAGTCGCGCTGCGCGTGCACGTTTCGTCCGCCCGCGGTGAAGAGGGGGTGCGCGCACCGCTCTCGGACGCGAGTTTTTTTTTTTCCGTGACTCAAAATTCCAGTTGAGGCGCGCGCGCTCCCGCGGCCCCGAGTCAGATACTGAACGATGGCTGAGGGAGGAGGACCCGAATCGGGTAGCGGGACTGAACCCGATCCGGAGCCGGTACCTGCTCAGATACCCTTACCTTCACCCGACAGCCAGAAGCAAAGCCTAGGAGCTCTGCTCAAAACCCCTCTCCGCAAGGGGGACGAATGGTGAGTTGAGTGGCCGGACCGCGAGCTGAGCTTTGCAGGCCTGTGTGAGGAACCGTAGCCGGGGAGACGCCGGGTGCGGGAGGCAGGAAGAAGCGTGGTTCGCTGGGTCTGGTGGGGATCTGGGAGCACCTGTTGCTGATCCGACACCCGACGGTTTCGTTACCTCCAGGCGATCCGCGATTGTGAGCTACACTGTAGGGAACGCCGGCCCCTCTGCCTGGCAGCGTGAGGCACAAGCGTGACACGAAGGGTGGAGGGGAAGTAGGAAAGTGCGGGGATGACTAGGCCGCTGTGCGTAAATCAGGAAGAGCACGGGAAGCCGCGGTTGATGGCAGTACCCTGGTTCGCCCTAGGACGGGATGCCGGAAAGGCAATGCAGCGAGCTTATTGCTTTGTCATGGAGGTTGGGTGGTACCCAGCTACTCCTTTGGCACTGTCCGCAGAAAGCGTGAGGGTATGAGTGCCGGCAGCGGCTACCGCCGGACGAGGACCTACCGGCTTCCTCGCTGGTGCTTTGAGTAGCAAGTTTAACCCACCACGTAAATGAGAGGCGCCGCAGCGAAAACACGGAGATCGAGATCATCCCTATGCGTTTACGTCGCGACCGAGCCTGATCTTTTAAGTTGGCGTCTGCGCTTCTGTGTGATTTTTTTTTTCAGGCGTTTCAGTCCTGCGAGAGACCACGACCCAGGTCGCTGTTATCGGCTGTTGCAGGGAACTTGACTGGGTAGTAGCCCTGTGCTGATTCAGTTGTCAGAGCTCGTTGTATTAAACGGTGATGGTCATCCTCACTATCGAGGGTGACCCAGAAAAACGTCCTGCAGGGTTGATGTGCTTTTGTTAAGCAAAGTACGGCACATAATATTTAGCATAGCGAATCTCAATCTAATGAAATTAAACTAGATTATTTGTTTCGGTTGACTGTATACTTATGTGTAAACATGCAAGAGTCCCTGTATTAAGTCAAGCTAACAAGCTTATGATCAGCAACTTCCTTAATTCATATACGATTAGCACATCCTATCGGTTGCTATATTGACCAGTGTGACATTAGATTAAAATACATTGTTGTTTTCCATTTGTTGCATAACTTGGAATTTTATTTGTTCTGGTCTTGACATGCACTGAGATTGCCGTATAATTTTTGTCTCCGCAGATTTAGGTTAAACAACGTACTTCAGTCGGTGTAGAAAATGAAAGATTTCTTTAGCATAAGTGGTTTCTCTAATGTGACTTGCCTCATGCCCAACATACAGCAATAAAGTGCCGTTTTCGTCTCATGATAATAGAGTAATTTAACAATTGGAACCTCTGTAATGAACTTTTTTATAGTGTAGTTGGTTAGACCTTTCCTCTGTCATCATTTTAAAAAAATCTCTGGTTTCTGGCTTTTTAATAAGAAATATACTTTTCAAAAAGCTTGTCTTTCACAATTGTAGTCATAGAATGACTTGTGTTTTGAATGCAGTAATGGTGTCTAGGTTGGAGTGTTCATTGGCAAACCTGACTTAAACCTTGATCTCGTAAGCTATTGATCATGTTTTCCTTTAAACGTGACTTGAATAGTCTTTGTGGAGACCGTTAATGAACATATAAAGGATCAGGTTATATTGTAAGTATTATTTTTAAAGGTTAATTTAAGTAATTCCCATTAAACTAAGGTATATATTGTATTTTCTCTGTGATCGAAAATTAAATTTACCATAAAATGGTCTATAGATAGACCTCTTTGTGTGTGACAGCAGTTGTAGTTTTGTATTGAATTTAGCTCACTGGAAAAGCAGAATTAATGTCTTGTCCTGGCATAATGTTCTTAATGATCACTAATGATCAGTGTTGTGTCCCCCCTCCGCCAAGGGAAGGATATGTATCTGTAAGGATAAATATAGAGGAAAATTAAAATCTACTGCCTGTGATCCCTTTTGAGCAATTGTGAAAATTATTTTCCAGCCCAGAATAAACAAAAATGAATGTGCATAAAAGGGTACAGTTGCCTTCTGAATACCTTATTATAACATTAAACATGTCTGTGAGAATAGATTAATGCACTAATGTTATTTGTATTGCAAAAACTATGCTATTATGTATTGCAAAATTCCTATACATTCACTGTGTCATAGTTGGGCGTATTTGAATTGTTTTACAGGTTTTTGATTGACAGCCGCTGGTTTAAGCAATGGAAAAAATATGTAGGATTCGACAGCTGGGATATGTACAATGTTGGGGAGTTCAGCCTATACCCAGGGCCCATCGACAACTCGGGGCTCTTTTCAGGTACGGAGTTAGGCTGCCACATGGTGTCATTTTGCATCTTTGATTCTCCATTGTGAAACTTTTTACACCCGGAAATAAGGGAAGCACAGTAGCAAGCGCAGGTATTCTAGGGCTCTGTCCTGATCTGAAAAAGTCTCGGCAAGAAGCAGCAGGGAAATTCTATGTGAAACACTGCATAGGGCACTGTTTTTCTTTGTCCTGGAATAACAGTTAGAATGTGTGCATGGACTAATGTGCAGAAAGCATCAACTTTAAAGTGGTGTACAACGGAAATTTGACTTTTGTATTTCAGACATCACCATGTTATTAACCAGTGCAAGTAAAATGATTTTATCAGCCAAATAATGGTAAAATGTGTCATTTTTCTGACAATCTTGGCCACCATTTAACTTAACATAAATTAAGTTAAAACATAAAATAGTTTAATAGTTTCTGTGTGGTATCAGGCCAGGTCACACACTGTCGATTTAGACTTTATACAGATACACCTGAATTGTGTTTAATGCTCTTTAAAAAATCTGTCTCGAAACTAGCAGTTGGTAATCTGCTAAGAATTAATGGGATAATTGCACTTAAAAGCTCTAGTTTGTGACTCATTTTTGAGCATCCTGTCACCAGTCACTCCTTTGCGAAATCACCTGTTAATCATGAAAATGAAATCTGTCTGTGTCCATGCATGTCAAATTTTAAGATTTGTTTTTCTGCTGGCACGTCATAAATTGTTTTTGTTCACAACAAATGATTACATAATTATAATGGGGATTCTACCTGTTGTTACCTACTTTGTTACTTTGTCAAATCAAATAATGATAAAGCTTAAACTTACAAAAGCCTGTAACAGACTTGTAAGCAGTGTAACACTTGTTTCTGGCCTTGGGTTTTGATCAAACATGTCACACAGTTTTGTACTTTTTAATTTAACCAGTCTATACATTACTATCATATCATCCCTTTATTTAAACGTCAGACTTCAAATAGAATTGGTTAAAGCATAAGTATTGCATAAGGCCATCTAAAGTCACCCTCAGGTTGTGGGTAATTCATTTAGAGGATCTTTATTGTTTTTATTTATGGTTAAGGTTCGATAACTGAAATTCCCATTCCATTTCAAAATAATATTTCTCAATACTAAGTTCTTGTTTATCCAGGCAGTTTCTTGTGCCTTTAGATTTGTCACAGAAAAGGTGGGAGTTTGTTTCTTTGCCTTATCCCATATGTGACTTCTCACTGGTTATTGTTCCCCTGGCAGACCACGAGACTCAGACCCTAAAGGAGCATTTGATAGATGAGCTGGACTATGTTCTGGTGCCCACTGAGGCCTGGAACAAGCTTCTTAGCTGGTATGGCTGTGTGGAAGGGCAGCAACCCATTATCAGAAAGGTGGGTGATATCTTTCCTTCTGCACATGGATTTCAGTTTATGGTAAAACTGCACTTCATGACCCCTGAGTACAGTTTAAGGTTTAGCAAAGCAGCCAAACATGCTTTAAGTGTCCTCTTGCTGAAGAGGGAGGCCTGGTGTGAGTCAGCAGTGCTCCTGACCAGCCGGTCTTTGCCTGTCTGATTCTGGCTGGTCTTCAGCCCCTGACCTCAGCTGTCCTGTGATTAGCTGAAGTGTTGCTTAGGGGTGGGTGAGGGAGTGCGTGCTTGAGAAGGCAGATACTCTTGCAAAGAAGCCCCACAATAATCAATAACCTTCTGGATTAAAGCAAATAACCCGTTCTCAGCACTTTGTGTTGTAGTACACAGCACAAATGCTATTTTTGAATTTTAACACTACTAGAAAGGTTTTGATGGTGCCAATCAGCACTTGTCACACTGATGCAAATCTATTTAAACAGTCTTACCTCAGCAAAAGGCTTTTGCGGAACGTATATGTGATTGAGATTCTGCATTAAAACACTCATAGAATATTGTTCTTTTATATTGTTTTGTTGCAAGATCTTATTTTTTTTAAAAGGAACACTTCAGTGTGTAGAGAGCCAACATTAATGCCCTTAACTATTTATATGGGAGCTCTGCTCAAATAAACCAAGATATGAAGTGCATGTTGAGTTTTTTTAGAGCCTAGAGGGATTCTGGCACACATGCTTTTCAATCACCTCTTAAGACCGCCTGGAGAGGTGGTGGGGAGATTGTACCCCAAAGTTAGACTCGAGGGTTTCCCTGATCTCCCCTATGTTACCAATGGCGGAGTCTAGTCACAAGGTAAGCTGCTCCAGCCCACGGGTATCTCCCTGACAATTGTCTGGTGGGGAAACAGCAGTACAGTATTATTATGCATATTCAGAATAAGTGTCAAAAGATTGCAGCTTTCTGCTAATCCTAACATACCGTGTGACCCTGTGTCGTTTCCTGTGCTAATCCTGACAAGTCGCTGACAAGTTGACATGATGCAGGCATGATCAGGCTTCCATTGGAAAATTCCAGCCACTGTAAAGGAGAGTGTCAGAAGTTTCAAAGCCATTTGAACCAAGGTCTTTATCTAAAATGTTGTTCTTACTTGGCATATACTGTACAATATTGGAAAGAGTTTTGGATACGGGAAAAAAAGTAGTTGTCATTCAAAGTCTTTTATAGATTAATAACTTCTGTGTATAAATGAAGTGTTCCTTAATACAGTCATACATTGACATTCTACAATGTTATTGGTGTCCCTTCCTATATGTAAAGCAGTTTGGGATGAAAAGAGCAAAACAAATATAATAAATTATAATTATTATAGAAGACGTTGAGGAATAAAAATTAATATTGCATTTCTTAGCATAAATTCTGTTTTTGATGATCCAGTAGAGCCCATCTCTAGACCATTTCTATGGGTGTGAAATGAGAACTGAAAACTTCTTTGATCAATTGCAAGGGTGATCACCTTTGTGGTTGTGGATTTCAACACTTTAAGGAGCTTCTCTCTCTGGCATATGCATTTTTTTACAGGTGGTTGAGCATGGCATGTTTGTGAAGCACTGTAAAGTGGAGGTTTACCTTCTAGAGCTCAAGCTCTGTGAGAACAGTGACATGGATAATGTCATAACGCGGCATTTCAGCAAGGCGGATACCATAGGTGAGAAACATGGCAAACGGCAGAGGTTCTTTGCTTTACACTGTGGTGAAATGTACATAAATGTGATAAAAAAAAAGAATTGTACTTTCATATGATGGTACTCAAAAACAATGAAAATATCTCGTTGTTTGATTTGGGTTGATATACAGTTTTAGTTTGTCTAATGTACATTCACTCTTAAGGTATGAATGCCTTGTCCCCCAAAACATTTCTGTGGCCTTTTTGCCTCGACAGAGACAATTGAAAAAGAAATGAGGGTGTTGTTTAAGATCCCGCCAGAGAAAGAGACGCGTCTGTGGAATAAATACATGAGTAACACCTATGAACAGCTGAATAAACCAGAGAGCACCGTGCAGGACGCTGGACTCTACCAGGGACAGGTGGGGTGCCTTGATATTGCCTGGATTCCTGTAGGATCTGACTTTCTGTGTAGCCCTTCCAAACAGTTCACTTAATCCCCTCTCATATAATAGTCCACCCCTGCTCTATGTTGTAGGATTTTTGTTCTTCTGTATTACCCAGTCTTTTGGGTTATAAAACATGCTCAATGAATTTGTTTCAAGAATAAAGAATTCTGTTTTTCAACATCAAAATGAAAAAAAGTCAAACTGAAGCAGCCTCCTGATCTGCTTTATGAACTTAGAAGATTTTTTTGTATTGTTCAAATACTCAGATACTCTGAGCTGAAATGAAGTTACTGCATTTTTTCCACTTCTTTTAATTATCTTCTAATAGTGGTGTCCTGTTTGCTTGGAAAGCAAAGTTTGGCTTGAATAGAAATTGCTTAAACCTAAGTTGCTTAAGTATGAAAATATAGTTCAGACTTTCAAAGCAGACTTTCTGCCTTTCAGAAGTATGTGTGTATATTACCTCATACCTGTGGATATTCAGCAACTTCATTCCCTTTATTAAAATTGAAGGTTTAGTCACTTGATCAGACTGTGCTGAAGATAATCAATGGGTTTCTCACTCTTTGACTGCTTCAGGTTCTTGTGATTGAACAGAAGAATGAAGATGGTACGTGGCCTAGGCAAAGCAGTCACCCAAAGTAAGATCTTTCATGTTCCTCACAACCGTTAAGTTGCAAGCCACTGTACAACTTGTGTTATGGAGGTTGAGACCAGAACTAGCCCTCTGTAAATTTCCTGTGGGATATTAAGTTCATAGATGTGATTTGTGTTCCAAATCATTGAGTGTATGAAGAAAAAATAATTGCCATCTCTTTGTTGCATTTACATTCATTTAAATCTAAAAAATATCCAGTATTTCACTTCAGTCTCCTACAGGGGATGTAGCTGCTTTTTTTTTGCATGCATTTTAATATGGAGAACTCATTTTGTTTGTCGCCCTGTTCCTAGGTCCAGCACGGCCACTTCTAGAAATTTCACTACCTCCCCAAAGCTTTCCTCTAACTCCTCAGCCACCATTTCTTCTAGTGTAGCCAATGGGGATAGCAACAACTCTGGCTACTCGCTGAACAACAGTCCCAGTTCTGGTAACCGGTAAGTCCCATTCACTTATCTCCATTCCTTACTGCTTTCTGCCGAAAATAACCTGTTGGCAAGTTCCGAGTTTTTTAACAAATGTAAAATATGCCCGTTCACATTGTGATGTCATATAAACCTGCCTATATATTTTTTTCGCAGTTCTTAATGTTGCAACTTCCTTCTTAAGTTCTCTTTGCCGTTAAGGATCTCTCTGACCATTTAGAATTTTAATCTTACACTCTGGTTCAATATAAACTCTTAATATTAAAAATTGCGATGATCTCATTTCTAGTTCTGTTTTTTTCTATTTAAGCATATACAATAAAAAAAATCTTCAAGGGTGTTATTAGCAAGTGATATATTGGATCAGTTGTAATGAGTGGAAATGTTCACGATTTCTATGGCACTTGACAGTTCAAGGTGTGGTTCAAAGTTCAAAGTTCACTGCTGCAGTGCAGTGTCAACAGAATGGCCACTAGAGGCCTCTAGTGCATTATGGAAGTATTCCGTGAGAATCTGCATGTACACAGGGAGATCAGTTGGTCAGTTATTCAGCATCTCGGACCACAGGGTAATGTCCAGATGATCAGTCTGTCAACTTCCCTGACGAGGTTCCGTTGGGAACTAAGGCTGAGACCGTATACACAGCTTTTGCAGCAGGTGGGGTTGAAAGTGAGTTGAGTTAACTGAGTGGCCTGGATTTCATTTTGAAGATTTGAAAAAGAAACCTGTATATTCAATGCAAGCTTGACCCTACAGGTACATTAGAGGATTTTGTTGGGGTTGTATGTATTGTTTTGTAACTTGGGTAACCTGTTGGCTGGCCAGCATAGACTGCCTTTCATCTTTAGGCAGCATTTAATGGGAGACTTTTTTTCTGTTGATGAAACCAAAACTTTCACCTCACAATCTTTCCTAGACCTCGGGTTTATGTGCAGGGATCTTCAGCCATGTAATTAGTACAGAGGATCTTGTACATTCTTTAAAGGCTGTCTAACTAAAGTGCTTTATTTGTTTTAATAGGCTGGGTGGCTACAGCTCCTATAGCTCATCTTACAGCTATAGAGAATCGCAGACACAGCCTGGTCTCTGTGGCTTAAGCAACTTGGGCAATACCTGCTTCATGAACTCAGCCCTGCAGGTAGGACTCCATCTTTAGAAAAGTGTGTTCAGCTAATCCAAATTATACGACTTTAAAAAGACTTCAAAAAGAGTAGAATGCCTGCAGAAGAAATACATTTTTTTTCTTGATTTAAAGATCTCATTGAATTTTAAATTGTTTGAGTTTGCATACACCCTGAAAAGTGTCAAATGCTGGATAAACTTTAAAATCAGTAGTTAAAATGATGAGGTATTTTACTGTCACGGGTAACAGATGGTTTTGCCGAAAAATTAATTCGGCATAGAATGCTAAAAAGCCCAACATTCAATTCGGAAGAACCTAAACTGCTTCTTAAAATACATTAGAAGTCCATCTTAGTTGTCCTATGTCTTTAAGCTTAAAAGGTATTTCATGTTTTGTATAGAACTATATACGTTCTAATTATTCTTTGTGTGAAATTAATATAAGCTGCAAATGCTGAATGTGTATAAAATGTACTTGAGTCAACACAATGTGCTGATTTTCAAGTGAATGAATGGAGACTGGAAATGTACTGTTGTAAACTGGAGTTGTCATAATTTACATTTACTTGGCTGTAATAGTTATACTAGATAAAATATATTAGATTGAAGTTCATTAAGAAGTTTAGTGGGCAGCATGGTGACACAGTTGTTAGAATTATTGCCTTACAACACTGGGGCCCTGGGTTCAGTTCTGGACTTGGGTTATTATTGGCATGGAGTTTGTATGTTCTCCTTGGGTTTGCATGAGTTTCCTCTGGGCGCTGTGGTTTCTTCCTATAGTCCAGAGACTGACAGGTAAGTTAACTAGCTTTGGGGGGAAAAGTGGCCCAGGCGTCAATGTGTGCATTTCTGTGTTTGCCCTGCAATGTACTGGCGTCCTATCCAGGGTGGACCTTGTCTTGCTCCTATTGCTTGACAGTATGGGCTTCAGCTCCCCTGCAATTCTGAATTTGGTTGGAAAGCGGATGGCCGAAGAAGTTTAGTTATAGCTCTGATTGTGGGTTTTTGGTGGCTTATTCACAGTGCCTGAGTAACGCCGCCCCTCTGACAGAGTACTTCCTGAAAGATGAATATGAGGCCGAGATAAACCGCGAGAACCCTCTTGGGATGCGAGGAGAGATTGCAGAAGCCTACGCTGATCTGGTCAAGCAGATGTGGCAGGGACGCAACAGCTACGTGGCTCCACGAACGTTCAAGGTGGGACAGTGGTGGAAACCTTTCTTATCCAAAGCCTGAGGTTTGCTCACGGGTTTCCAGTCTTTTTCCTGGTGACACACGTCCCAGGTGTACAAATAAATAATTCCTATTTGCCGTAAGACCACATACCTTTTCATTGGAGTACAGCTTTATGAAGGATTCACTGTTCTTGTTGTTTTTCTCCCCCAAACAAAGTAGCTTGAAATATTGACTTGTGTTTAACCAGTTAATGATATAAATTGGGAGCTCAGGAATTTATAAAACAAAATGCATAAAATACTAAATGATTTTTGAAAAACAAATGGCATCAGGTTAATAATAAAATAAATACTACTTGTGTAAAACGTGTAAGGGGTTTTTGAAACCCTTTTTGAAATGCAATGTAATCACTGCATTTCCAGCAATATGCTGTTGGTCACATTCTACATTTTGTATGGAGCTTCTTCAGAAGGGTATGTATGTTTTGAGATACACTCCAAGAAATGTAAGCTTACCGTTTGTGAAGAGAATGGTTTCGTTTGACTGATGAGAGCAGGAGCAGGTTTTTGAAGATCTCGAATTTGCCAGCAGCCAAATCACCCTGCAACTCGCAACAGGCAGTCCACTGAAGCTAAACCAGTTGTGAGCATGGTCAGTACTTGGATGAGAGACCTCCTGGGAAGAGGCTGGAAGAGGTGTTAGTGGGGCCAGCAGGTGACGCTCACGCTGCAGTCTGTGTGGGTCCTAATGCCGCAGTATAGTGACAGGGACGCTATACTGTAAACAGGTGCCGTCCTTAGGATGAGACGTATAACTAAGGTCCGTGGTCATTAAAAATCCTAGGGCATTTCTTGGCCGGCTTCCTGGCCAAATTTCCCATTGCCCCTTACCAATCATGGCCTCCTAATAATCCCCATCTATGAATTGGCTTCATTACTCTGCTCTCCTCCCCACTAATAGCTGATG